CAGCGACATTAGCACCTCCAGCAGGCAGAGGACCAGCACCACTCCCAGCTCCAGTGACGCCAGCAGAAGAACCCCCAGCAGTAGAGCCCTGAGGTGCAGAAACGCGACGCTGACGGCGACCGTACCAGTCGTGCAGCTGCTGGGAGGTGAGAGGCACACGCGGACGAAGACGGCTACTCCAAGAAGACCGCGTAGCAGCAGTCCCAGGACCCTCAGGCGACTCACCCCCAGACTCAGCACCCCCAGGCTCCGCACACGCAGGCTCAGCACCCCCAGACTCAGCACCCCCAGACGCAGCACCCCCAAGACGCAGCACCCCCAGACGCAGGACCTCCAGGCTCCTCACGCGCAGGCTCAGCACCTCCAGGCTCCGTACCCTCAGGCCCCTCACTCCTAGCGCCCCCAGACTCAGCACCCCCACGCTGCGCACCCCCAAGCTCCGCACCCCCTGGGACAGCACCACCACCAGCAGGACCTGAGTCACAAGTGACCTCGACAGGCGCAGGGACGGGAGGGTCTACCTGAGAAACACCTGAAGGAGCAGGACCTGGCGCGGGGAGGGGGTCTACCTGGGGAGGACCTGGGGCAAGAAAGAGCTGCGGGAGAGGGCGAGGAGCAGTGCGGTAGTGGAAGAGGCGGTAAAAGGGGACTGACTCGTCAAAGGTGACGTCCTGGGACGCAAAGACACGGCGCGAGGCGGGGTCGTAAAACTGTCAGCCAGGCGCGTCAGGGACAAAGCCAAGGAAGACGCAAGGAATGGCGCGAGGGGAGAGCTTGCCCGCGGTGGTATCGCGAACAAAGGCACGAGCACCCCAGACCCGGAAATGCGACGCGTCGCCAACCTTCCCCGTCCACAACAGGGTGGGCGAGGTCTCCGGCAAGGAGACACGGGGCCAAAGGTTGAGCTGATGAGCGGCGTACCAGACCGCAAACGGCCACAGAAAATGGGGGGCAGCCGTATGGATCATGGAGGTACGAGCGACCTCCATGACCAAGCCAATGCGGCGCTCAGCAACCCCATTCTGCTGCGGAGAGGCCGGAAGCGTGAAATTCTGGCGGATGCCGTGCTCCGCACAGAAGGCGGCCAAGAGGTCCGAGGAGAACTCACCACCTCTGTCAGAGTGCAGACGCAGGACAGGAAAGTCCGACTGGAACCGCTCGCGGAGCTGGAGACGAGTAGCACGGATCCAGGGGATCAAAACATCAGGGACATCCCCCTTGCGCTGCAAGGGGAAGACCGTGGTGTAGCGCGTGTAGTCGTCGACAACCAGCAGGAAGTACCGCTCGTGGCCCTGTCCACGGACACGGGTTGGGCCCCACACGTCCAGGTGGAGAGTCTGCAGTGGAGCCTCTGTGGGAGGGAACGAGGAGGAGTGAGGAGCGGGGCGCTGCCACCCCTCGACGCAAGGAATGAAGGGCGGCGCAGGCGAGGGAGGGAGGGAAGGCAGAGACCTGGGAAGACCAGAAACCAGAAAGCTAGAGTGCATGCTACGAAGGCGAGGGAGGGAGGGGTGGCCCAGGCGGTGGTGCCACAGGAAGGTGTCGTGAGACAGCCGGCGACACTCACACTGGGTAGCTACCTGAGCAGACGCGTGCAGCTGGGGAGACAAAGGGGTGGAGCGTGACTCAGTGGTGAGGTTGTACAGACTGGACCCTGGCGCACGGGTGAACGTGGCTAGGTGGCGGCCGGTCTGGGAGCACGTGCAGATCGCCACACGCTGTCGGCCAGGGGTGAAGGTGTCAACACCCGCATCCTGGAGGACAGCGTTGCTCACCAAGTTCGTAGAGAACGAGGGGAGGTGGAGACCAGACAGCTCACCAGACGGGACCGCCGGACACGGAAGCACAGTGGAAGACCGTGCAAGCACTGGGCCCCCAGAGGGGTCAGCCAGTGAGACAGGAACAGGTGCAGGAAGGGGAGTGATTGTGGTACTGTCGCGAAAGAAACAGCGGGAAGCACCAGAGTCAAGTGTAAAGGTGTGCAAGGCCTGTGCAGGCGCAGTACCAAGGGGAGCAGACTCACAAGCACCTAGTGCTGCAGGGGCTATACCAGGGGCTATACCAGGATCCGGCGGCACACACAAGTAGCAGTCACCCTCAGCACTAACAGACAATGTATACATAGCAGCAAGAATAGCCTCATAGTCAAGATCAAAGATTGGTACATCACGCCTAAGCAAGTCTGCCCAGTTGGGGAACTCAGTCGCATCAGAAAACTTGGCGCGCCAGGCGTCGCTAAGTCGAGCGAAGCAGCGCTGCTCAGTGTGAAACCCTGTGCACTGGCGATTAGCGCGGAAACCTGTGCGGATGATATAGGGGCAGCGACCAGGACCCCCAGAAGACCCACGCCCGGCATACCAGTCAAGAAGCTGCTGGGAAGTGGGGGTCTGGCGCTGACGCTGCTGCTGCTGCTGCTGCTGCTGCGGCTGCTGCTGGCCCTGACCACCACTGCCACCACCGCTCCCTCCTCCCCCACCGCCGCTGCTGCCCCCTCCACCGCCCCTAGTGCCTCCGCCGCCCCCACCACCACCTCCACCACCTCCACCCCCACGACCACCCCCACCACCTCCACCGCCCTGCCGCCTGCACCACCGCCACCTCCACCGCCGCCCCCACCTGCCCTGCCACCCTTGCCGCCCCTGCCGCTGCGACGCTTCCCACTAGGAGCGGAAGCAGCCCCGACCTCCTCAGCACCAAGGTAGTCGTGAGTAGCAGCTGCGGAGGCGTAGGAGGGGGTGAGAGGGGAGGGGGAGCACCCCTCAAAGAGGGGAGAACGCGGAGTGCCACGAGCAGCACCTACAGCGAGAATGTTCTTCTCTGCTGCTAGGAGGTGCTTCTCGAAGTCGTCGACAGTGAGAGTAGGGGGGTCGAGCGCTAGGAAGTGGTCCCTGACCGAGCTAAGAGTGTCAGGGAGGCGGGTGACGAGGAAATAGAGAGTGAAGTACATCGGGGGGGGGGGGGGGGGGGTTTGGCGCAGAACTCGGCTGAAAGGGCGGCACGAAAGCGGGTGTCAGTAGCGCGCAGGTGAGAAATGAGGTCCTCACCAGTGGTGAACGAGGAAAGGTCGGGGAACAGGTAGGGTAGCATGAGCCGACCTATGGCTGCAGTGGCCGGGGACGAGTAGCGCGCAACTACAGCGTCGTACAGTTTCTCAGCAGTTTTGTGCTGGCTGAAATGCGCTCGCTCAGGAATCGGCAGATGGTTCCTAATAGCTAGGTGTGCTGCAGCATCGCGAGTCTGCCACTGTGAGCGTTCGAGAGCAGGAGCATCGGCAGCAGGGGCAACGGCAGTGCCAGACACGTAATCGAACAGTGAGACACCCTCTTTAGCATTAGTCAGAAGGAACAGTTGCAGGTCGTCGAGCCGCACTGCGAACTCTATGGGGCGACCGTTAGGCTCGAACGCAAGAACATTAGGCGTCGTCATATCGGCCGCAGGCAAAGGCAGAGACAGCAGGCAGTAGACAGGAGGCAGCAGGCAGTAGACAGGAGGCAGCAGGCAGTAGACTGCAGGCTCAGACAGAGGCAGTAGGCAGTAGGCAACACAGGCAACGTGCTGGGCAGTAGCAGGCCGCAATCGAGCTCCTAAGGTGGCGCTCTAGACAGTAGCAGGCCGTGCAACCCTAAGGCAGCGGGCTCGGCAGTAGCAAGCCGCACAGGCAGGCACACGAGCAGGGCACGCGCGCTGCTTGCTGCGTGCAGCTGAGGGCTGCGCGCGGCTGCTAGCTGCGCGCGACGACGAGCTGCACGCGGCTCCCGACTGCGCGTGGCGACAGGCTGCGTGCGGCTCCTGGCTGCGCGTGCAGCGGGCAGCGCGCGCGACTGCGTGCGGCGTGCGGGGACGGGCCGCGCGGGCGTAACCTAAGCAGGCTGCGCACGGGCGGCGTAAGGGGCGCACGGGCGGGGCCGGAACGGGCGTCGCGGGTGGGTCTAAAATGAGGCGCGCGGGCTGCTTAAGAGGCGCGCGCGGGGAAAAAAAAAAAAGGCCACGCGCGTGCAGCCAAGGCGCGCGCGGGCTCTAGGCAGGGTAGGTACATTCTTAGTGAGGCGAAATAGGTAACGGCGGGCCCTAATCCTAGGTCCTAAGGACCTATGCTCTAGATGCCATGTTAAGACTTAGGCAAGGTGGATTGAACTATCGAGAGAGTTGGTACAACAAGGAAAAGCCTAAGGGGTTGTACCCCACAGTGAATACCCCACTAAGCCTACCTAAACTGAAACATATAAACATATGTTTGACAGTTTCGACACGACAAAGGCGCTTAAGTTAATTGTTTCCAACAGCAAGAAGGGGAAAGCAACAGCCATGGAAGTAGATGACAAGCCTGTAGATGCTCTAGACTCATCTAGTGATAGCGATGATGATGAGGATGAAGATGATGTTGACGAGGATATGGCGACGAGGATGTGGCTTCATGTAAGGTTCTTATATCACTGATAAACTTCTAAAGGGTGTTGTGTAGGCCTAAGAAAAGTGTTCAGCTTCTTTACAAATGTCACTCACGCTGATAATAAATCAGCTTTTTCTTCTAAGGAACCACTGAAAAAACTCAGGTATTTTTTTTTCAAGGCAACACTGACTGATCAGCCATCAGCTCACTCCTAAGACTGACTTCAGCCTAAGCTAAAACGAATCTGAGACACAGCTCTGCACCGGAACTCCATTGAAATGGAAGGGAGAAGGGATCTACTTGATTAGAAGGGAGAAGAGATCACAGTGATTGGAGGGGAGAAACCTTCTAAGTTGAAGCATGTGCACATGACACCAGAGTCAGTGCTGCGATCCTGAGCCATCCTATTGAATGCACAGCATTGCGCCACTGGAAGCATTGAAAGGTATGCCCCTGATCAATGGTAACAAGGGGAGGACAAAAAGGATAAGATAGCTTACAAGGCATCACCTTTGATATATTGGTGAAAAAGAAGGAAGAGGAGAAGGTGAGCAGATGTGCTAGTGGAGCAATCACTTACAGTGCAGGTGGCACACGGCCAATCACTTACACTATAGCTGCCGTTATAAACTGCATATCATTGTTCGTGGAGACTTCTTTCTCGATGGCGCCTTCACATGCATTTGACTTGTAGTATATAATCTTCCTGCAGGGTGGAGCATCGCCGATGTTTTCAGTCTTATAAGCTGATGTGATGACGCCGGTCACTGCAGGTGGCGTAGGAGTGCACACATTCAGGTTGAGGCGGAAGGTCCACGGTCGAGCAGCCGCGTCCTTGGCTGTTTCATTCGCGATGTAAGTGTAGCTGTAGGAAGAGACGGTGGGAGCTCCACCTGACAAAGAGAGGCACAGAGGAAGCACTCAGCGCAGTGGTGTGTTGTCACCCTTAGCAACAGACTCAGCACAAAGCAAGGACGTTCACACATTCATACATGCATTGCCACATTCCCTCAAGCATCGGCAGTTCAAGCAACTTGACAGAGCAAGAAAGGTGAAGAAAAGAGTGGGGTGAGTAGGAGAGGGGAGAGTGGGGCAGGGAGAGCATGCATGAAGGAAGCTCACCTTGAACACAGCTGGTCGCGGTCATCCCATACCCGCTAGGGCACGAACAGTAAGGATAGGGTGGGTCCGACTCATAAGTTTTGCATGTGGCTCCAGAGGGGCAAGGACCACAGAGTGAGTCTGGAACGAAATGGAGAGAGAAAGGATGGGGAACGGTGAGATTATAAGGTTTGACGGGTGAGCATGGGTGCAGTGCGATATGTCCGAACTATTGATACTATAGGATTGTGGATGCTGAGGGCCCGGCGCAGAGAGTGAGACTGAAGGGCCCGTAGCAGCAAGGGAGAAGCAGGACAGCGGCGAGAAGCAGGACAGCGGCGAGAAGCAGGACAGCGGGGAGAAGCAGGACAGCGGGGAGAAGCAAGGACAAGCGGAGAAGCACGGGACAGGGAGAAGCAAGGATGCATGAGGGAGGAGAGAAACAGGGCGGAGAGACGGTGGGATAACCATGAATGAGGAGCGGGTGTGAGCGCAGTGCGGTACGTCTGTGTGCTTGTTGGTAGAGGAGTGGACTTTCAGGGAAGTGAGTGGGAAAGGAGGTAGGCCAGCACAAGGAGGAGGTATGTTTAACTCTCATAAAGTTGGGACATGAGGTTATTTCCAATGGCATGGGGTGGGCTGGCAGAAAGAATGAACATTACTCTCACTCTCATGGGGTGGGAACATGAGGTTACATGATGAATGATGGCTTTGAGGACTCAAACAAAAAAACCTGAGGTATGTGGCAATGAGGGCTCTCCTCAAGAACCTCCTCGGTATGGGGCTGGATGGCATGGGGTTGCTATACCATGTACGATATGGGATGAAGTGGAAGTGGAAAGCAGGAACGCCACCACACTGGCAGCAACGCCATGCTCACTCACCCCACTTGCAGTAGCGCTCTCCGTTTTTATCCTTCTCACATTTGCCGCCAGCAGGCTCACAACCCAACGCCGCACAGGCAGGATCTGCAGCATAGGCGATGCACAGGGCAACAGACAGAGATATGCTTATAGAAGTCATAAGGGCATTGAAACGACGTTAGGCACTGTGTGCATCACAGAAGCAAGCGAGCGTGGTGTACTAAGATACAGCAAAGGAATTTTGAAATTTGGAGAAATGCGTCCCGGCCTAAAGAATTTCGGCCTTGAGAATCTCGGCCTAAAGAATCATGGCCACTGAACGTACCACTGGTGGTAATGTCTTGCAAAATCCTCGCACGGATCTTCCTGGCTGTTTCTGCCACCATGCCTTCGCCATACGCGCCTTTCAGCGTGCTTCGCAGATTCGCCGTGTCATCACCGTACGAGTCATAAAGCATGCTACGGTGTGTCATCCGTTTCATTGTGTCGTCGCCATTCGCTGCCTTCGTCATCTGAACTGCTGCAGAGGTCAAGGGAGAGGGAGTGCAGAGAAGAGAGAGAAAGAAGATATGAGAGAGCAGAGAGGGAAGACCAAGGAGAGGATCGAGGTATACAAGAGGTCGAAAACAGCGAGCAGGAAGGAGGGATTTCTCGGAAGAAAGGCACGGTGCTAAGAGCTTACGCCGGATCAAGGCAAGCGCTGACCACTAGCAATAAATGTTAAATCAGTGGGAGAAGGCAATAAGAAGCAGACTGACCGGCGATGAGGGCAATGGCGAGCAGCAGGAGTCCGGGAGGAGAGGCGCGCATCGACCCCATGATGATGATGACGACGAGGCTCCCGCGGGAGAGACGGCAGAAAGAGGCTGGGGAAGAGGCGAGAGAAGAGGCGCAACAGTGGAGCGTGTTGAGTTCAGCGGTAAGTTTAGGGTTGCAATCACCATGCGAGACGATGGGTGGAATGAAGGACAGTCTAGTGCAAAAGGCGGAACGAATGAAATGCGCTGAGCTGGTGACTTATATCGCGAGTTACGAGCGCCAGCCAAGCATGGCAGCCGCCGCGCCATCTTAGCTCCGAGGTTCGGAGCGCGATTTATATCATGCATTATATGTGCCACATATAATGCATTGCTTGGCTCCAGTGCCGTCATACTAGGGACCACTGAATTATATTAGTGCGACATGCGACACTGGGCTTGGCTCTAGTGAGTTGCGACGGCGAAATCACCCGCGAAATGTTGGGAATGATATGTGTGCGACTGAAGAGTTTGGCGGGGCGCCCATGAGTCAGGTTTCACTGCCGTTGACGAAAAACGACGAATTGATATTACAACGCGGTGCTTTTTCCCGTTCGTTGCTTCCTTCCTTCACGATGGTGCCAGGTTCAGCAAGGCCCAGTTTGGCTGGCCAATTCCCTGTGGTCATCCCAAGGTGACCAACAAGCTCGGGCTCGACCTTCGTCGCACAATAACGTCGCTGAACAAGTGAATGTACACGCGCCTTGACGAGATTGGGTGCTATTCGTCAGCGTTTGGTTTTTGTTCCGCGATTGGTTACAAATGGGAGACTTGTGCTTGGTTCAGCCTACCAGCCGAGGCTCTCTCCCAGAATTCCCACGAGAACCTCTCTGCGACGCTGACCAACCGACCGTGCGACAGAAGGAAGCTACCACCCGAGACTCAAACACCGCATCGCATTGCTTCCAACCCTTCACAAAACATCCTCACCTCATCCTTTGAGCCCTTCGTCAAGCTCGCTCGATGAACCTTTTGGTGCCTGTCCAGCTAGCTTCCGCTAGGACTAGTTGCTACTACCCGATGAGCTGAGTGGAAGGACTTGTAGCTACCGCATCGCCACCCCCACATTCCAGATTAGTCTCTAGCAGCCGCTCGCTTCATGGATGCGGCTGTGTCCGAACGCATACCGCACAGCACGCGCCGCATCCCGGCGATCAGACTCGAATAAAATATCGTGTACACCTGAACCTCCCGTCGCATGTCCGCCACGACCGCGTCGCGCATCCGCAAGCGTGCCCTCCCGGGGGGCGACCAGCGCGCCCGCCGGCTCGCCGCGTGCGGAGCCGAGCCCCGCCGCGAGAGCGCGCGCACAGCACGCGCAACCCCGCGATCAGAGTGAAATACCATTCGACCCCGTTCCAACCCCACCCCTCTCGCCATTTCCTGTTGCTGTAATAGTACTTCAAGACTTGTGTTCCCTCCCCTCCCGATTGCGACGGCGGCGATGGCGGGGAGCGAGGTGCATCAGGCGCTGCAGGCGGCGGCGCTGCCGCTGAGTTTCCTGGTGATGAGTTCGGTGCTGCCGGTGGTGAAGGTGCTGCTCATCGCCGCCACCGGGCTCATCTTCGCGTTGCCCTACTTCGACGTCCTGCACGCCGACGCGCGCAAGAGCCTCAGTAAGGTGCGCCCGTACGCTTGGGCAGGGTGCTGGGACGTTGAACTGTGCTAGGGTGCTGGGCAGGGCGCTGGGGCAAATCGATAAGGAAATGCGCTGCGTCAGGCACTGAGGCAGGGCGCTGGGGTAGGGCGGTGGAGCAGGGCTTTACAGCCGCTGGTCGCTGTCACCGTCGGCGGCCTCGTCCACGCGCCCGTTCTCGCCGCGCCCCCGTTCTCACCGCGCCGAGCGCAGAAGCGGAGGAAGACGCGCCGCAGGCGTAGAGCGCTGGGGGCGGGGCGTTGGGGTTGGAACTTTTGGGGTAGTAGGGCGTTTGGTTGGGAGGGGGAGAATAGGGCGCTGGGGATAGGCCATTGGGGGGTCGAGGAAATTAGGAATGGGGGGCAGTGGGATGAAGGAGAGGCGTTGAGGAAAAGAGGGGAGCAGAAAAAGGCATGGTGAAAATGAAAAGAGGGCGACGGAGGATGAGGGACGGAGGAGGGAGACAAGTTGTAATGCGGAAGCAAAGGTGAGGAGTGGGGGCGAGCGAGGCAGGCGGTATATTAGGAAGGGAGATAGGAGGAGGTGGTGGGGGAAAGGGGTGTGGAGTTGAGGCGGGAGGGATGTGGCGCGGAGAAGAAAGGGATGGAATGACAGAGTGGATCGCCATGGCAGAGGGGCAAAAGGTGGAGGAGAGAGAGGCGGGCACAGAGAGGGGCGGAGAAGGTGGTTGAGGGCAGCCCAGGGAGTATTGCTGGCAGTGCTGAGACTGTTTGTGAACTGGAGATGCGAAACGGCGTCTCCCCACACGCCCACACCTTGTCCATCTATGTGAGGAGAAGCATGCCCGCCTGCCTGCCTGCCTGCCTGCCTGCATGCTTGCCTGCATGCCTGCCTGCCTGCCTGCATGCTTGCCTGCATGCCTGCCTGCATGCCTGCATGCCCGCCTGCATGCCTGCCTGCCTGCCTGCCTGCATGCCCGCCTGCATGCCTGCCTGCCTGCCTGCATGCTTGCCTGCATGCCTGCCTGCCTGCCTGCATGCCTGCCTGCATGCCTGCCTGCCTGCCTGCCTGCCTGCCTGCCTGCCTGCCTGCCTGCCTGCCTGCATGCCTGCCTGCATGCATGCCTGCCTGCCTGCCTGCCTGCCTGCCTGCCTGCCTGCCTGCCTGCCTGCCTGCCTGCCTGCCTGCCTGCCTGCCTGCCTGCCTGCCTGCCTGCCTGCCTGCCTGCCTGCCTGCCTGCCTGCCTGTGCTTCCTGGCGTGCTTCACACTCCGCCACCATCCTCCTCTGTCCCCATTCGTGCCATCTAGTCATGCCGCCCATTCGTGTCACCCGTGGTGCTGTCTCCCCTTCCCCCCCACCCTCTTGGTGTTGTCTCCCTGCCCCCAGCTGGTGTTCACAGTGTTCCTGCCGGCCATCATCTTCGTCAACCTGGGCGAAGCCATCTCCTTTGAAAACCTCCTCAAATGGTAACCACCCTGCCTCAGATGGTAACCACGCTACCTCAGATGGTAACCACGCTATCTCAGATGGTAACCACACTACCTCAGATGGTAACCACGCTATCTCAGATGGTAACCACGCTGCTTCAGATGGTAACCACGCTACCTCGGATGGTAACCACGCTGCCTCAGATGGTAACCACGCTACCTCGGATGGTAACCACACTACCTCAGATGGTAACCACGCTACTTCAGATGGTAACCATGCTACCTCAGATGGTAACCACACTATCTCAGATGGTAACGACGCTGCCTCAGATGGTAGCCACGCTGCCTCAGATGGTAACCACGCTATCTCAGATGGTAACCACGCTGCCTCAGATGGTAACCACGCTATCTCAGATGGTAACCACGCTGCTTCAGGTGGTAACCACGCTACCTCGGATGGTAACCACGCTGCCTCAGATGGTAACCACGCTACCTCAGATGGTAACCACGCTACCTCAGATGGTAACCACACTACCTCAGATGGTAACCACGCTACCTCAGATGATAACCACGCTGTCTCAGATGGTAACCACGCTATATCAGATGGTAACCCCGCCCTCCCCCACCCTCCTATCCCTCTCTCTCCCCCGCAGGTGGTTCATCCCAGTGAACGTGGTTCTGGCGTCCGTGCTGGGCTGCCTGCTCGGCATGCTGGTGGCGTGGCTCACTGACTGCCCACCGGAGTTCTTCCGCCTCGTCTTCGTGCTCACAGGCATTGGTGCGTGCTCACAGGCATCGGTGGGTGCTCACAGGCATCGGTGGGTGCTCACAGGCATTGGTGGGTGCTCACATGCCCCCCTCCCATGCGCACCCATGCCCCCTCCCATGCCCAACCATGCCCCCTCCCATACCCACCCGCTTCCTCTCTCCCATTCGCACCCGCTTCTTCTCATGCCAACCCGCCTCCTCCCTCCGATTCGCCCTCCCGTCCTCCCTAACCCCGTGCTTCTCACCCCCCCCAGTCAGCATGGCAAACATGTGACTCGCTGCTCCTCTTGCTCCCTTCTCTTCTCCCCTCCCCCCTCCCTTGTCTCTTGGCCAACCCCCTCACCTCCCCCTCACCTCCCCCTCACCTCCCCCCTCACCTCCCCCCTCACCTCCCCCTCACCTCCCCCTTTCTCCCAGGCAACATGGGCAACATGCCATTGGTGCTGCAGTCCGCTGTGTGCCCCGATGCACGCAAGCCCTTCGGCGAGTTTTAAGTCGACTCAAAACTGTCCCCATGCGCCTCCCTTCCCCCTCCCCAGGCAGCATGCCGCTGGTGCTGCTGTCCGCCGCTGTGTTCTCCACCCCTTCCGACCTGCCCCCATGCCGCACCCCCGCCCATCCCCCTTTCTGCCAGGCAACATGGGCAACATGCCGCTGGTGCTGCTGTCGGCGGTGTGCTCCGATGCACGCAACCCCTTCGGCGGCCACAACGAGTGCAACAAGCTCGGCACCGCCTACATCTCCCTCGGCATGTGGGTGCGTGCATGGGGGCATGTGGGTGCGTGCATGGGGGCATGTGGTTGCGTGCATGGGGGCATGTGGGTGCTTGCATGGGGGCATGTGGGTGCGTGCATGGGGGCATGTGGGTGCGTGCATGGGGGCATGTGGGTGCGTGCATGGGGGCATGTGGGTGCATGCTTGGGGGCATGTGGGTGCGTGCATGGGGGCATGTGGGTGCGTGCATGGGGGCATGTGGGTGCGTGCGTGGGGGCATGTGGTTGCGTGCATGGGGGCATGTGGGTGCTTGCATGGGGGCATGTGGGTGCGTGCATGGGGGCATGTGGTTGCATGCATGGGGGCATGTGGGTGCGTGCATGGGGGCATGTGGGTGCGTGCATGGGGGCATGTGGGTGCGTGCATGGGGGCATGTGGGTGCGTGCATGGGGGCATGTGGGTGCGTGCATGGGGGCATGTGGGTGCATGCTTGGGGGCATGTGGGTGCGTGCATGGGGGCATGTGGGTGCGTGCATGGGGGCATGTGGGTGCGTGCATGGGGGCATGTGGGTGCATGCTTGGGGGCATGTGGGTGCATGCGTGTTGCCTGGTGCTGCGTATGTAGGCATGATGGTAACGTCGGCACCGCCTACATCTCACTCTGCATGTGTGTGCGTGCAGCGCATGTGTCCGTGTGTGCATCAGTGCATGACTGTATTACTGCATGTGTGCATGTGTTTGCGTGCCTGTGTGCATGTGTGCATGCCTGCATGAGTGCGTGTGTGCATGCGTGCATGTGGGTGCGCTCATGGAAATGCATGCATAGGGCATGTGCATTGGCGGTATGGCATTCAAAAGCAACATCATCCTATGTTTTTGTACCTGGCTATACGCATCCTCGCTAAACCCTGATGCAGATGGCGGCCATAGTGATGTGGAGCACGGTCTACAACATCCTGGCGCCCCCCGAGGAGTGGTTACCAGGTTACGTGCGGCCCTTGGACCACTTTGGCATCGATCACAAGTACGTGGATGCGCCCATGGTGCCGTACCAGGAGGAAGAGGACGACAGCGACACTGACGACGGGGAAACAGACGGGGAGGGGGGCGAGGAGGGGTGGGAGGTGCCGGGTGGGTGGGAGGCGGCGCTGGGTGTGGGCGTGGAGGCCGTGTCGTCACGCCCGCTGGTGCCGGGGGAGGGCAGGCGTGCACACCACCATGCTGCTGCTGCTGGAAACGGTGCCGCTGATGGCACTGCTGGGCTGCATGCACCGCTGCTAGCAGGTGGACCAGCAGCAGCAGAGGGGCGCACAGAGTCAGCAGTGCCGCGGCTGGGCAGTGCGGGGGGCATGGAGGCAGGGCAGCAGCAGCGCAGTGAGGGGTCGGTGCGAGGCGGGCGTGTGTTTGGCGGTGGCAGCCTTGGCAGCAGCGTGGCTCGCACGGCATCCCGGTCGCTGCGGAAGGCGTCCGTGGCGCTGCTCGTGCGCGCTCCCAACACGGTGAGCAGCCATGAGGTGCCGCAGCAGGCAATGTGAGGCAGATGCAGGTGCATCCGCACTGCAGCTGTGTGGTGCGTCGGCATAGTGTGCGGTGCAGACTCTCACAGCACAGGTGCTGCGCATATACGTGCACTTGTCACTCGCCTCTCCTCATTCCCCTCGTTCCCGCATCCATCTCTGAAAGGCGCTCTCAAGTTTCAACCTAGTCCTTGCCACTTCCCCTGCGCTCCCTCACTGTGTGTGTGTGTGTGTGTGTTTTGTTTTTCTGTGTGCGTGTGTGTTTGTGTCTTTGCGAGCGTGTGAGTGTGTGCGAGTATGTGTGTGCGAGTGTGTGTGTATGTGTGTGTGTGTGTGTGTTCGTGTGTGCGTCTTATGCGTGTGTGTGCGTGTGCACGTGTGTGTGCGTGTGTGTGTGTGTGTGTGTGTGTGTGTGTGTGTGTGCGATTGTGTTTGTGCGTGCGTACATGTGTGTGTGTGCGAGTGTGTGTGTGTGTGCGTGCGAGTGTGTGTGTGTGTGTATGTTTGTGCGTGCGAGCGTGTGTGTGTATGTGTGTGTGTCTGTGTGTGTGTGTGACTGCGTGTGTGCGTGTTGTGCATGTATGTGTGTGCATGTGTGCATGCGTGCGTGCCTGCATGGGTGTGTGTTGCGTGCATGCAAACATACACGCATGTATGTCCATGCGATGTGCATGCATGTGTGTGCATGCATGTGTATGTGTGCGTGTGCATGTGCATGGCAGCTGGGCGAGGTACTCAAGGCGCTGCACATTTACGATGTCTTCCGCCCGCCCGTCCTCGCCGCTGTACGTCCCTCCCTGCCTGCCATGCCCCGCTCGGGCTGGGTTGGTTCGGGCCGGCCCATGCTTCTCCCAACCAACCCCATGCTGTCCTCCGCTGATGCACAACCCCATGTTGCCTTACACCATGCTGCCTTACCCCATGCCTTCCTGATTCCCGTGCATCTTGGTTCTGTTGAATTGCTGGAACTCCACATTGAGGAGTATGTTCTGCTGTTGTCAACTCTAGTCCCCACCATTGACTCCAGTCCCCACCATTGACTCCAGTCCCCACCATTGACTCCAGTCCCCACCATTGACTCCAGTCCCCACCATTGACTCCAGTCCCCACCATTGACTCCAGTCCCCACCATTGACTCCAGTCCCCACCATTGACTCGAGTCCCCACCATTGACTCCAGTCCCCACCATTGACTCTAGTCCCCACCATTGACTCCAGTCCCCACCATTGACTCTAGTCCCCACCATTGACTCGAGTCCCCACCATTGACTCTAGTCCCCACCATTGACTCCAGTCCCCACCATTGACTCTAGTCCCCACCATTGACTATAGTCCCCACCGTTGACTCTAGTCCCCACCGTTGACTCTAGTCCCCACCGTTGACTCTAGTCCCCACCGTTGACTCTAGTTCCCATAGCCTTCACCACGGTTGCTGCGCAGGTCAGAACAGAACCTTCCCATCTACACTGCTCGCACCCCCCTGGCTTATGGGGTGTTGCGCATTCGGGCTATGTCTTGCCTTTGCCTGCCACTTCTCCTTGCCCGTTTGCCGTTGCCCAATAATCAAGCTCCACTACCTCATTCCCCTCCGTCTCTGCCTGCGCTCTTCCTCCTTGCATGTCCTCTTCCCCTATCTCCTCCATCTCGCCCCTTGCCTCCATCTCACCCCTTGCCTCCATCTCGCCCCCCATTGTGCCCACTCCTCATACCCCCATCCCCCCTCCCTGCTCCTACATGCAGTGTCTAGCAATGCTACTGGGCATGGTGCCGCAGCTGGACTTCCTCTTCTTCCATCGCGACGGCGCACTGCGATTCCTCACTGACGCCCTCGCCGTGCTGGGGTCAGTGCTGCTGCCTGCCGGTGCCCCTTCAAGGCACACAGGGATGAATTGCCGTGGAGGGCGCAGAGTGAGGCATGCATGGGCAAACCACTCTCCTGCCCATCGATGCTGCGCACTGAATTTCTCTCCTTCACGTGCCTATGTTGCCTCTCACGCTGCCTCCATCGCATGCCCTCTCCTCCATCGCATGCCCTCTCCTCCATCGCATGCAATCTGATTCTGTCCCCTCCTCTATCTTCTCTGCCCTCACCTCTGCCGTGTGTGTGCGTGTCTCCCCTCGCGCACAGCCAGGCCATGATTCCCTGCATTCTGCTGGTTCTCGGCGCCAACCTCGTCAAGGGTCAGTGCAGTCTTGCAGTGCTGCAGCAGTGCTGTGTCGAGTCGCTGTGCCGAGTTGCTGTGCCGAGTTGCTGTGCCGAGTTGCTGTGCCGAGTTGCTGTGGTGGTGTTTCAGTCCGCTGGGATGGGGCCTTCCTAGTGGATCATTCACAAGTCATCGTTGGGTTGGAGTACAGTTGACAATTGTGTTCCACAGATCACCTCCCTCCCCCTCATGCATGCCCTCACCTCCCTCCCCCTCATGCATGCCTTCACCTCCCTCCCCCTCATGCATTCTCTCACTTCCCTCCCCCTCATGCATGCCCTCACCTCCCTCCCCCTCATGCATGCCCTCACCTCCCTCCCCCTCATGCATGCCCTCACCTCCCTCCCCCTCATGCATTCCCCCACCTCCCTCCCCCTCATGCATGCCCTCACCTCCCTCCCCCTCATGCATGCCCTCACCTCCCTCCCCCTCATGCATTCCCCCACCTCCCTCCCCCTCATGCATGCCCTCACCTCCCTCCCCCTCATGCATGCCCTCACCTCCCTCCCCCTCATGCATGCCCTCACCTCCCTCCCCCTCATGCATGCCCTCACCTCCCTCCCCCTCATGCATGCCCTCACCTCCCTCCCCCTCATGCATGCCCTCACCTCCCTCCCCCTCATGCATGCCCTCACCTCCCTCCCCCTCATGCATGCCCTCACCTCCCTCCCCCTCATGCATGCCCTCACCTCCCTCCCCCTCATGCATGCCCTCACCTCCCTCCCCCTCATGCATTCCCTCACCTCCCTCCCCCTCATGCATGCCCTCACCTCCCTCCCCCTCATGCATGCCCTCACCTCCCTCCCCCTCATGCATGCCCTCACCTCCCTCCCCCTCATGCATGCCCTCACCTCCCTCCCCCTCATGCATTCCCTCACCTCCCTCCCCCTCATGCATGCCCTCACCTCCCTCCCCCTCATGCATGCCCTCACCTCCCTCCCCCTCATGCATGCCCTCACCTCCCTCCCCCTCATGCATTCCCTCACCTCCCTCCCCCTCATGCATGCCCTCACCTCCCTCCCCCTCATGCATGCCCTCACCTCCCTCCCCCTCATGCATGCCCTCACCTCCCTCCCCCTCATGCATTCCCCCACCTCCCTCCCCCTCATGCATGCCCTCACCTCCCTCCCCCTCATGCATGCCCTCACCTCCCTCCCCCTCATGCATGCCCTCACCTCCCTCCCCCTCATGCATTCCCTCACCTCCCTCCCCCTCATGCATGCCCTCACCTCCCTCCCCCTCATGCATTCCCTCACCTCCCTCCCCCTCATGCATGCCCTCACCTCCCTCCCCCTCATGCATGCCCTCACCTCCCTCCCCCTCATGCATGCCCTCACCTCCCTCCCCCTCATGCATTCCCCCACCTCCCTCCCCCTCATGCATGCCCTCACCTCCCTCCCCCTCATGCATGCCCTCACCTCCCTCCCCCTCATGCATGCCCTCACCTCCCTCCCCCTCATGCATGCCCTCACCTCCCTCCCCCTCATGCATGCCCCCACCTCCCTCCCCCTCATGCATGCCCTCACCTCCCCTCCATTCCGCCCGCATGCATGCCCACCCCCCTCCCTCCCCCTAATGCATGCCCACCCCCCTCCCTCCCCCTCATGCATGCGCACAGGTCCCGGGGCGTCAGCGCTGCCAATGCGCACGACACTTGCGGTGGTGGTGACGCGGCTGCTGGTGGTGCCGCTGCTGGGCATCCCTTTCCTGATAATGCATGCCCCTTCCTTCCACCCTCACCCTGCCCACAGGCCCTGGAGCGTCAGCACTACCAATGCGCACAACACTAGCAGTGGTGGTGACGCGGCTGCTGGTGGTGCCGCTGATGGGCATCGCCCTCTCCTCTCCCTTTTGCATGCCCGCTTTCCCTCATGCATTCTACTATCCCCTCCCCCTTCCTCCACCTCCTTTCCGCCCGCATGCATGCCCCCCTTTATGCATGCACAGGTCCCGGGGCGTCAGCGCTGCCAATGCGAACAACACTAGCGGTGGCGGTGCCGCTGCTGGGCATCGCCATTGTGCTCTGCGCCGACCGCGTGGGGCTGCATTGACGCATCCCCCTCCCCGTCCCCCTGATGCATGCACCCTCCCCTCCCTCCCCCTTCATCCGTGCCCCACCGCCTCCCCCTTTCCCCCACTCCCTTGGGGGCCCGGCATACATCCCTCCACCACCCATGCCCTTCCCACAGGCCCAGGGGCGTCCGCGCTGCCGATGCGCACAACACTGGCGGTGGTGGTGACGCGGCTGGTGGTGGTGCCGCTGCTGGGCATTGCCATCGTGCTCTGCGCCGACCGCCTGGGGCTGCTGCCGCCCGGCGACAAGATGTTTCGATTCGTGCTGCTGCTGCAGCACGCCATGCCCTCCTCCATCCAAATAGGTGAGAAAGTGTGTACCAAGGTGTGCCAAGGTGTGTGTGCGCACAAGCAGCTCTGCGCCGACCGCCTGGGGCTGCTGCCACCGGGCGACAAGATGTTCCGCTTCGTGCTGCTGCTGCAGCATGCCATGCCCTCGTCCATCCAAATAGGTGGGAGAGGATGGGTGCAAGAGGATGGGTGCAAGAGGATGGGTGCAAGAGGATGGGTGCAAGAGGATGGGTGCAAGAGGATGGGTGCAAGAGGATGGGTGCAAGAGGATGGGTGCAAGAGGATGGGTGCAAGAGGATGGGTGCAAGAGGATGGGTGCGAGAGGATGGGTGCAAGAGGATGGGTGCAAGAGGATGGGTGCGAGAGGATGGGTGCAAGAGGATGGGTGCGAGAGGATGGGTGCAAGAGGATGGGTGCAAGAGGATGGGTGCAAGAGGATGGGTGCGAGAGGATGGGTGCAAGAGGATGGGTGCGAGAGGATGGGTGCGAGAGGATGGGTGCAAGAGGATGGGTGCAAGAGGATGGGTGCGAGAGGATGGGTGCAAGAGGATGGGTGCAAGAGGATGGGTGCGAGAGGATGGGTGTGCCGGGGTGTGCCGGGTGCCAGGGGTGCATGACGCCATGCATGCTGAACCATTGGTTCATGTGACGGGTGTGCTGCTGCAGCATGCATGCCCTCGTCCATTCAGATAGGTGCGAGGGGATGGGTTTGTGCTTAGGGCGCAGGCGCCCATGCATGCTGAACATGGGTGCTCATGTCATGATTGCGTCGCCGTGCAGCATTCACATCGAGCTTACATTTGAACACCTTTTTACGTGTGACCATGGCATGCAGGCACAGCGTGCAGCCTGAGGGGGTTTGGAGAGCAGGAGGTATCAGCGGTGCTCTTCTTCCAGCACATATCAGCCGTCTTCACCATGGCTGTCTACCTCTTCGTCTTCTTCTACCTCCTCTACGGCTGACCAGTGACCTCTCTGCTGCAATGCCCACATGCCTCACGCTCAGCAGCATCAAAGTAGCAGTACTCAGGGAAACCCTAAAAGAAGCTTGAGAGGGTTTAACAACATTCCGAGTAAAACGAGATTCTTCTTCAAGTCTGCAAAGCAGTTAACGACAAAATCTACAATCTGGTGTATTTCAATGAAAATCCTTACATGACATTTTATTGTCCCATCCCATGCATTTACACCGTTCAAGAATATTTTTTGTTAACGACGCACCCCTTATTTTTCCCTGATGAATCACAGCAACCGCACCTGCGCTTCTATAAGGAGGGGCTCAGTACAGTATCGCCCCAATGGTATGGTTAGTGGCAAACGAGTGCAATGCCTCTTCTTGTGAGTTCACTATCTTTTTAAATCATAGAACCCTTTAATTTTATCTGATTAATTTTACCTGTTTAGAATTTTCCTTCCACTTTCTTCGTGTGCTGTATGAAAGAACCTTGTCACGAACCATTCAATCTTCAGGCAGTGGTACATTCAACGTACTGTGCCAGCGCATAAAGCGGTGCCACATTTCGCGGGCAGAGTCAGCCACCTAGATTCCTGTTTACTCGTTTGACCTCGTTCGTTAGCGCACTACTCGAGGAGATTATCTAAACCAGCAACTAACCGTTGGGCCCTGTCGGAGCATGTGGAGTCCTGTCCTGTCTCCTCCCCCTCCTGCCGACAGGCTGTCGCTCCTAGCTTCCACTCTCTTCGCCTCTCTCTATTCTCGTCTCTTCTCGTCTCCTATCCTCTTCTTTCCCGCACTTCCGTCGGTCTCTTACTAGTATCTAACAAACCTTTCCTCGCCGAACTGAGTCACACGCCGCTGCTCTGCTGTCCTCCTCGCCGAGTCAACCCGGTGAGAACCGCCAGCGAAGAATCGGTAGTTCACGCCTTACGGGGTCACCCCGCTGTAAAACTCGCTGCTAGCAAGACAACGTAGCAACTATCATTTACAGCACAGCACATCGTGTTACCATTCCGCACAGCGAGGCATAGTAGGATGGGTCATCCGAGTCTACGAGGCGAGCTAAGGCCGGATCGTAACATGATCGTGTCCCGCATGTACCGATCCGACCGCTTTCCGATGGCAGCCAGGCGTAGCACGCGTAGTAATCCGGGTATAAGAACCAAGCCAAAGTTAGATCCAACCATCGCAAGCTATTCGCCCTACTACTACTCGTCCTGCTACCTCCAGCTGCTCTCACCCGCTGCAAATCTAGGCTCTAGCAGTCCTTAGCCATACTATCTCCGCTTACCCTAATTTCTCAGTTTGCCGAACGTCCCGCGCTGCTCTCCGCAATGGCTCCTGCGAAGCTCCTCTTCGCCGTCGTCGTCACGCTTCAGGCCTCCGCGATCCTCGCGCAGACGTGCTCGTGCGCCGACTGCGAGACGGTGGCCCCTCCCTGCTACGCCAGCAGGTGAGGCTCCCGATTCAGATTTGAAATAATCCACCCAAAATATGCTGGTCATTTGGCTGGTCGATTGCAATGCAACAACTGAGTGTTGTGCGTGCTGCTTCTCACCCTCCTGCCTGCGTGGTGGATCAAGGACAACTGCAGCTCGCAGTCGCTGTGGAACAGCGTCAAGGAGGCCACCTTCACGTCCCCCTCGCTTCCTCTCCCTGCCCCCCCCCCCACCCCTCCCCTCCCCTCCCCCCGATTTTCCCCTTTCTCCCGCTGCAGGTGGTACGCGTGGTGGATCAAGGACGACTGCAGCTCGCAGACACTGTGGAACAGCGTGCAGTCGTCCAGCGACGTGCGCAGCAGCGTGCTGGCCGTGTGGGGCCCCGGCACGCCCGGCTCCACCACCTCCTTCCAGAGCTACGTGCTCATGGCGGCCAACAACCGCAGGAACCCCAGTTGCGTCAAGACGTACCTGCTCGACTGGATCAAGTGCAAGGCCGCGCCCACTGACTCGGCCGTTCAGTTTTACAACTCTGCACTGGGCGTGGGGGTGAGCGGGGTGAAGGATGTGCGGTCGCTCAACACTTTTGTGACGGCGGTGATCAAGAAGATTGGCCAGACCGTGTTTAACACGCTCGCTGGCATGCTCAGGCAGCGCGGCCTGCAGGCTCAGGTTGTGATGGCGGGAACGTGGTGCTAGATAGATGCATTCAATCATGATTGAATAGAAATGATGCGTGTGTGGAGTGGTTTATGTATAAGGTTGTGTTTTGCCTTTCCATGGGTGCGGGCGGGGGTGGGGGAGGGGTGGAAGAAGGTTGGTTTGGTAGGTTCTTAAGGGTTTAGGGTTGCTGAAGCAGTGTGATCTGCAGTCTAGTGTGATGTGGTGTTGATTGATCTACTCTACAGTAACAAAGCTTTACACTGCTGCTCGTCGTGACTCATCCGTAGCAAAATATATAGTGATACAGTCCACGGAATCATGTGTAAGCATAATATCTAGTTGTAACTTATTCGTTGTTCGGGGACGCAGAGAAGCGTTGGCGAATTCGCAGGCGAGGATCCTCGACAGGTTACCGGGCTGAGCTGGTGCTGCGTCAGCCTCTTTTGATTTAGCAAGCTGGCCGAGTCAGGTGGTCCCCACAAAGCTGCGTCACGCAGCTGGGTTGTGAGTCAGCGGGTGATACACCCAGTCAGGAAGTCGAGAGTCAATCAGAACTGCTTGCCAGTCAAATGCAACTGATTCCCTCGATTTGCAATGTCATAACACCCCCCTGCAGTGAGCCTTTAGTTATTATCTCCCGCAGCTTCACTACAGGCAATAGCCAATCGGCATGGTGCTCGCACGTGTTCTCACGGGCTCCGTTCGTCGCGGAGCCTCTAAATCCCGCCCCGTTTCCCTCGCCTCTCGCCTCTCACCACCCATTTCCACTCCCTCCGCTATAAACACCACTCCCTTCGCCGCGCCTCATGCCTGTAGCGGAGCAGCAGCGCTGCGTCCTATAGCGGGGATGCCGCCGCTCTTGCCGTTCGCAGCAGCGGGTGCTGTTGCGTCGTCGTCGACGCTAGCAGGAGTCGCCGGGGCGGGGTCGCCCAGCGGCGTGGCATGCGGGCCGCAGCTGACGGAAGGAATAGACTCGTCGCCTTCTGCTCCCGCTGCACACGTTTTTAAACAGGTGACATGCCTTACAACAGGTAGGAGGTGTATCAACAGATATGTGGTCCTTTCCCTTCCCGTCGCTTCCGTTCCCTTCCCTTCAATTCCCGTTGCTTCCCTTCCCTTCCCTTCGCTTCCCGACCCTACCCACCCCTTCCGTCAGGGATTCGGAAGCAGGAACTTCCCACCCCAAATAGAGCGGCGTGCTGAGATGGGGGCTTCGAGCGGATAGGGAAGCACGAAAGCAGCACGAGCAGCGTGTGCAGGGAACCGTGAATCTCACTTCATTCCTCACCACCCCCGTCCCCTTCCGCCGCTCTTCCTCCAACCCCTTTTGCCCCCACCTGCAGTGTATTGCGCGGATAAAGCGGATGAAGAGGCAGCACAAGCAGGGCAAGTCGGGCCTGCCTACCTCTACGTACCCTTTCCCCTATCTTCCACTCTCACCGCGCCTACCTCTCCAGTGATTGAGCTGGAGCGGCTACAGGCGGAGGCGCTGAAGGACAGTGAATTCGAGCGGTTAAAGAAGCAGCACAAGCAGGGCAAGTTGGGCCCTCCTACCTCTACTATAACACCTCGCTACCAACTGGGTCAAAACGAGGGTGCTATTTAGGCGCAGCAGAATGGCTTTGAAACAGTCCACAGGCGTTACATCTACGTACCCTTAAACCTTCCGGCGTCCCGTATCGTCCCCTCCTCACCCACCCCTCCAGCCTTCAGTGATTGAGCTGGAGCGGCTACAGACAGAGGCTCTGGAGGGTGGAGGGTTCGAGCGGAAAAAGAGTTAGCACAGGCAGGGCAGGCCAAACACACTCCTACTTACCCTCTTCGCTTCCCGCTGCTCTCCCCTCTCACCCCGCTTACCTCTCCAGCCGTCAGTGATAGAGCTGGAGCGGCTACAGGCAGAGGCGCTCAAGGGCGGGGGGTTTGAGCGGATACGCAAGCAGCACAAGCAGGGCAAGCTGACCGCCAGAGAGCGCATCATGACTCTGCTGGACCCCGGGTCGTTTGAAGAACTCGGTGAGTGGCGCGGCAGTGCAGTGCAAGCATCAGTGGCAGGGCAAGGCAAGGTGGCAGCGAGAGAGCGAGTGATGACTGTGCTGGTCCCAGGGTTGACTGAAGAGGTCGGTGCGTGAATTGCTTGCACAGTCAGCAGGAGCAGGAATAGCAACACGAGCAGATCAGGGAAGCAGCCGAAGCAGCATGAGCAGCACTGGCAGGGCAATTGGCATGACAAGCAGTGCAAGCTGACACCCAGGGTTGTTCGAAGAGATTGGTGAGTGGAGAGACAAGAAGAGGCAAGACACACAGCACGAACTCTGCAGGGAAACAGCGCAAATAACAGTGGCAGGTCAAGCTGGCAGCCAGGGAACGGATAATGGCAGGCAGCACGAGAGCACACGCAGAGCAGGGGAAGCAGCACGAACAGCACTGGCAGGGGTACCAGGGGGAGCAGAGCAAGATGACAGCAGGGAGCGAGGTATGACATTGTTCAATTCAGGCCGTTTGGAGAGGTCGGTGAGTGCAGAGGCAGGTTTTAAGTGCGTGCTGGATAGGCTGGGATGGAGAAGAAGCAACAGGGGCAGGGCGATCAGGGAACGAACAAAGACTGCAAGCTGAGTGCAAGCTGAGTGCAAACAACTCTTACTCACTCTCACCACTCTCTCTTTCATCTCCTCAACTTTCTCCCCTCTCCCCACCCTCACTCTCTCACCTCTTCGACTCTCTTTCTCCCCGTGTGCTCTGTCTTGAACTTTCTCCTTCATGTGCTGTGCTTCACCCTCTCCCCCACGGTATTTGCTTTTCCCCCCTCTCCCCGTGTGCTGTGCTGCACTGCACCTCTCCCCCCGTCCCTGTGTGCTGTGCTGTGGTGTGCTGTGCTGTGGTGTGCTGTGCTGCGTGGTGCCGCAGACATGTTGGTGCAGCATCGCTGTCGGGACTTTGGCATGGATGAGACACAGATTGCAGGCGATGGTGAGAGATGACACATGGGCGGTGAGAGATGAAACGCGGGTGGTGAGAGATAAAACACTGGCAGGGAGAGATGTCACTGATTAGAGAGAGTTGTTGTGGTAGATGAACCGTACCTCCCTCCCTCCCTCCCTCCCTCCCTCCCTCCCTCCCTCCCTTCCTCCCTCCCTCCCTGTCTCCCTCCCTCCCTGCCTCCCTCCCTCCCTGCCTCCCTCCCACTCTCCCTCCCCACCTCAGCCCCTCCTGTGTATCTTTGAACCCTCGCATGCCACAAGCACACCATTCGTCAGCGCACCCTCTCTTGCTTCCTTTCTCCCTTGTCTCTTGTACACTCACGCAACCCGTTCGGCCACGTGTTGCCATGTCCTGCCGCGTGTCGTGAGTGGCAACAGCACCATCAGCAAAGGCTGAGCGACGTTCCGCCACTCTTTTTCCGGTTCACTCACAATCCCCTCCCTTCCGCTATTCCTCCCCCCACGTGCTGCCAGGCGTTGTGACTGGCAGCGGCACCATCAATGGGAGGTAAGTGCTCTAGTGTGAACCATCAGTTCAAGGCTGGTTAAAACGTTCAGTTTTGAGTCGCGGCGAGTGGCTAAAGGCGTGTGACCGTTGGTGTGCCACCCTTTCCCGCTCCACTCGTTTTCTCTTCTCTGCTCCATTCACTCCTACTGTTGCTCCCTTTACTTCATAGGGCTGTCTGTTGTGCTCATGGTAGGTAGGATTGGTGGTGGGCTTACTTGGTTGATTCCCGCGCACTTGCTTCTCCTACTCTCCTCCTCATTCACACGGCAACCACACTACACTACTGGCTAGAGTGTGGGTTCAGCCAACACCCCACAGAACCGTGCCTCATGCTAACGGGTTTCATCTACATTATTCTCACTCACGTGCTTCCCACCCCTATCTCTCCTCTCCTATCCTCCCCACACCACACCACACCTCACCACACTACAGGCTCGTTTTCATGTTCAGCCAGGACCCCACAGTGCTGTGCCTCGTGTGCTAGTGCATTTCACACGCTCACTCCTACCTCTCTTATCCTCCCACGCCACACCACACCACACCACACCACACCACACCACACCACACCACACCACACCACACCACACACCACACCACACCACACCACACCACACCACACCACCCACCACACGACCCCACGCCACACCGCCCCACACCACACCGCACCGCACCACACTGCAGGCTGGTGTTTGTGTTCAGCCAAGACTTCACCGTGTTTGGCGGAAGCCTGTCAGAGACCCATGCGAGCAAGATAGTGAAGGTGAGCAAGATAGTGAAGGTGAGCAAGATAGTGAAGGTGAGCAAGATAGTGAAGGTGAGCAAGATAGTGAAGGTGAGCAAGATAGTGAAGGTGAGCAAGATAGTGAAGGTGAGCAAGATAGTGAAGGTGAGCAAGATAGTGAAGGTGAGCAAGATAGTGAAGGTGAGCAAGATAGTGAAGGTGAGCAAGATAGTGAAGGTGAGCAAGATAGTGAAGGTGAGCAAGATAGTGAAGGTGAGCAAGATAGTGAAGGTGAGCAAGATAGTGAAGGTGAGCAAGATAGTGAAGGTGAGCAAGATAGTGAAGGTGAGCAAGATAGTGAAGGTGAGCAAGATAGTGAAGGTGAGCAAGATAGTGAAGGTGAGCAAGATAGTGAAGGTGAGCAAGATAGTGAAGGTGAGCAAGATAGTGAAGGTGAGCAAGATAGTGAAGGTGAGCCAGTTGAGTCAAATCAGTGCAAAGGTCAGTTCAGTCTACTGGGAGGTCAGTCCCGTAGAAAGAAGAGATTGTAGTATTGATTTGGGCTCGAATGGGCCAGGGTTTACATAGGTGGAGGGAATGGGATGAGGGTCAACAGGTATTGGAGGCTTCAATGGTTTGCTGGTTTGGTTGGATTGGACCAACATTTGTGCGGCTCCGATACTTGTTGGGTGGGTTCGAACCAGCACTTTTGGAGGTCCAATGATTGTTGGGAACCCAACCAGACTTCAACCGCAAGTAATGGTTGAGGTACCCTTAACCGTATATATTAGTCTAGCTAGGACATGCATGTTGTATAAAAACATTACAACAGATCAGTCAACTGGGAGGTCAATTGAAGGCAATGCTTGTTGCAACAATTAGTGAAACACCTCGGAAATCCATTTCCCTCTCCTCCCCCTTCTCTCTCCCCTTTCTCAAATGGTCCGTTGTATTAATTCAGCAGGGGTACAGACACGCAGTTCTATCCATCCCCTTTCTCTCTCTCCCCTCTCCTGCTCTCCCCTTCCCCGCTCTCCCCATCCCCCCTCTCCCCTTACCCGATCTCCGCCTTCCGTGTGCCCTCCTCCCTCCTCCGCGTTCTCCCCCTCTCCCCTCGCAGATCATGGAGAAGGCAATGCTAGTGGGAGCACCTGTACGTCTCCCCTCTTCCTTCCCTGCCGTTTCCCTGCCCTTCGCCACCATCCCTTCTTCATTTCAATAGACCACGGACCCGTCCGTGCTTGTGCTTATGGGAGCTCCTGTACACCCCTCTCTACTTTCCCTTCCCTTCCGCAACCCACATCCCGTCCACGCCACACACACCTTTTCCCTTGATTCCTCGTTCTTAATTCACAACCCACCCTGTTCTATCCATCCCCAGTCTTACTGAGCAAGTTTAAATCCTCTGTTTAGACCGACTGAAACCTCGCGCAACTCCCTCCAATTTCCACCTTCGTTGCTTACTGTCGTTCCATATGCCCCCACCCTCACACTCATGACCCCCTCACCCTCTCTCCCTGCCTCACACCATACCCTTCATGCCATGCATCAACGAGTCACAGGTCATAGGCATCAACGACTCGGGGGGAGCTCGCATTCAGGAGGGCGTTGTGTCGCTCGCCGGCTATGCCAACGTCTTCCAGGTGAGTTTTGAGTCCACTCAAAGTTGCTCCCTTTGCTTTGTGTAGGAGGGGGATGGAGGGAATCTATAGGGGAATGGAGGGCCCATTTGTATCGAGTCTTATTTACTCTTTCCTCTCCTCCTTCCTCTCTTCCCTCCCCTTCCCCCTCCCCTCCACCCAACCCCCCCCCCCCCCCCCCCGGTCTTTCCCTCTATCTGCCCCCACCCTGGCAGCTGAACGTGCTGGCATCGGGAGTTATTCCGCAGCTCTCCCTCATCATGGGGCCCTGCGCAGGTGAGGGGAATGCTGCCTGGGGGGTGCGGGCTGGGGGCTAGGGGCTGGGGGCTAGGGGCTGGGGGCTGGGGTTCAAGGCACCAGTTATCAGGGTTGGGGCGCAACATGCAGGTGATTGGAGGGTGGGGCACGCATGGGGTTCTCATTTAGACGCGCCTCCTTGATAGACCCAGTGCAGGTGATGTGGGCTTGAGGCTGGGATCGTGGACTTCGTTGTGAAGAGTTGATGGGATGGGATGGGATGGGATGGGATGGGATGGAATGGGATGGGATGGGATGGGATGGGATGGGATGGGATGGGATGGGATGGGATGGGATGGGATGGGATGGGATGGGATGGGATGGGATGGGATGGGATGGGAGGTGATGTGATGGGAGGGTATGTGATGGGATGGGATGGGATGGGATGGGAGGTGATGTGATGGGAGGGTATGTGATGGGATGGTATGGTATGGGATTGGATGGGAGGTGATGTGATGGGAGGGTATGTGATGGGATGTGATGGGATGGGATGGGATGGGATGGGATGGGATGGGATGGGATGGGATGGGATGGGATGGGATGGGATGGGCTTCCATCCCTTGGGCTGTGCTGCGTTGCTGTACTTCGCTGTACTTGCCATACCTTGCTCGTTGTGCATCGCTGTGCTTCACTGTGCCATGTATTCTACCTATCCACCTGGGGATTCTGTTCTCTTCCTCACCTTGGGTGTCCCCCAACCATCCCTGCAGGTGGTGCTGTCTACTCGCCTGCTCTCACAGATTTTGTGGCCATGGTGAGACATGGTGAAAAGTGGTGAGATGTGGTGAAGAGTGGTGATTCGCTTGCATGCACTGCTCTGCCTTTAAAATAAGGAGGGGGAGGATGGGGAAAGAGATGATTTCAAGGGAGCTCTGCTCTCGCAGAGCTTATGCGTGTTGGTCAATCAGTCAAATGCATGAAGGCAGTTCTGCCTCAAAAGCAGTGTCCTTCCTCCTGCATTCGCCCCTCCTGCATTCGCCCCTCCTGCATTCGCCCCTCCTGCATTCCCCCCTCCCGAATTCGCACCTCCCGCTTTGCCCCCTCCCGCATTCCCACATCCTGCATTCCCATCTCCTCTCCTCAGACTCGAGGCACGGCGTACATGTTTGTCACGGGGCATGACGTGATGAAGCATGCGTTGTCCTGCCCGCTTCTCATGCCCTTGTTGTCACATGCCGTTGACCTGCCTTCTGCTCTTTTCTCCCCCCTACTCCCCTCAGACTCGAGGCACGGCGTACATGTTTGTCACGGGGCCTGACGTGGTGAAGCAAGTCACGTTTGAGGATGTCACTCGGGTATGCGTGTGTCACTATGTGTGTCTCTCATATATGTGTGTCACTCGGGTATGTGTGTCGCTCGGGTGTGTGTGTCACTTGGGTGTCACTCGCGTTTGAGGCCTGCTCTTCCCCACTCCCTCACGCTACCTTATTTGTTCGCCAACGAAAATTCTTTCCTGTTGCCCTTCCCTGCTTGCCTCGAATTGGCTTGTTTCGTTCACACACCCACACCTGGACACCCACACCCCTTGACACCTGCACACCCCGACACCTGCACACCCCGACACCTGCACACCCCGACACCTGCACACCCCGACACCTGCACACCCCGACACCTGCACACCCCGGCACCTGCACACCCCGACACCTGCACACCCCGACACCTGCACACCCCGGCACCTGCACACCCCGACACCTGCACACCCCGACACCTGCACACCCCGGCACCTGCACACCCCGGCACCTGCACACCCCGACACCTGCACACCCCGACACCTGCACACCCCGACACCTGCACACCCCGGCACCTGCACACCCCGGCACCTGCACACCCTGGCACCTGCACAAACACCCCCACGTACATGGCACATTCACTCACTCGCGTTGTGGTTGTGCATTCTCACTCACTCCCTCTTTCCCACACACCGAGCCAGGGAAACTTCAGTGGGGCGTTTTTTGGGCGTTTTTTAGAATTCTAAAAACGCACTGGCCTTGTGATGTGTGGGCGTGCGTGCATCCTCAAACTCTCCCTTCTCCTTCAGGATGAGCTGGGAGGGGCGGACGTGCAGTCCAAGTCAGGAGTGGTGCACCTGGCGTATGACAACGAACTCGATGCTCTTGCAAGGTGAGATGCGGTGCGGTGCGGTGCGGTGCGGTGCGGTGAGGTGTGGTTTGGTGTGGTTATGGTCATGCGTCCTCGATGCCTCTCCATCAGGACGAGCTAGGAGAGTCAGCGGGCGGTTGTGCAGTCCAAGGCAGGAGTGATGGTGCACCTCGTGTGTGGCAATTAGGTGGACGCCCTTGCAAGGTGAGGTGTGGTGTGGTGTGGTGTGGTGTGGTGTGGTGTGGTGTGGGTTACGCAGATGCTCTGATAGTGCACACAAGTGCATTGATGCTCCACCACTCATGCTCCACCACTCATGCTGCCCTGCCCTGCCCTCCCACCCTCTCCTCTCCTCTCCTCTCCTCTCCTCTCCTCTCCTCTCCTCTCCTCTCCTCTCTCGCTCTCCCCTCTCTCTACCGCCAGGATCCGGGACCTCTTTGACTTCCTGCCGCTCTCCAATCAGCATGCGCCACCTCTGCGCCCCAACTTCGACTCCCCGTGAGTCACTTGGAGATGCATCTCATTTCAGTTGAGCCTTTGGTAGTGCCTTTTGTGGAGCATCAATGGTACTACCCTCTTCTCCAAGTCAAGTGTTCCACTTTTACACTCTTCATCCGTCTCCATGGCTCTCATCCCCTTCTTTCATGTTTCTCCCTCCATTCGTGCACCCCCACGCCCCAAGCCCTTTCTCTCCCTCCTTTGAGCAACCTGTGCTGCATCCGCTCTCAGCAATGGCAACTCCTCTGATCATGGCTTTGCTGCTGTGCCTTGTGACCCTAACAATGTGTTCCCCCTCCTTCCCCTCCCCCGCGCCCTTCCTCCTCCCTTCCCTCTTCCCTCTTCCCCTTCCCTCTTCCCCTTCCCTCTTCCCCTTCCCTCTTCCCCTTCCCCTTCCCCTTCCCCTTCCCCTTCAACTCCACCTCCGCCTTCCCCTTCCCCTCCCTCTTCCACTCCGCATCCTCGGTCCATGTCCACTCCCTCCCTCCTCCCCTCCCCTCTCTCCCCCCACCCATCCCCTCCCTCTCGCCTTAGTACTCCAGCGAACTTGTGTTCTTTCTCTGACCTTTTCTGTGCCTCGTAACCCCAACAGAAGCAAGCACCCTGTTCAATCAACGCCCCTCATTCCCCTCCCTACCTCTCCCTTTCGCCTCCCCTCTCTTCTCCTCCCTACCTTCTCTTCCTCTCCCTCCCTTTCCCGTTCTCCTCACCTCCCTCTCCCTTTCCCACCCCCCCCACACCACAGCAACCGTGATTCATGTCTCTGGAACTCGCTGTGCCGCGTGTCCGAAACGCATATTTCCTCTCCAGAATTCCCCTTTCCCTCTCCTCTCCCTTCCCCTTCTCTGTTCCCTCCGTTTCCTCTCTCCTCCCCTCCAACCTCGCATCTCCTTGCTACGTTTCAGCAATCGCTCGCAGCTCCCCCCTTCTAGATCTCGCTGTTCTGTGCGAGCCCAACACCTGGAATCCCCTCTTTTGGTCCTCTCCCCTTCTCCCACCCCCTCCCCCGCTATCTTGCATCCCTCGCACCATAGCAACCATGTCTTGGACCCCAACATACTTCTCCCCTTTCCCATCCCGCTCCCCCTCCCCCTCCCCATCCCGCTCCCCCTCCCTCTCCCCATCCCGGCTCCCCTCCCCCTCCCACTCCCTCTCCCACTCCCCCTCCCACTCCCCCTCCCACTCCCTCTCCCACTCCCCCTCCCACTCCCCCTCCCACTCCCCCTCCCACTCCCCCTCCCACTCCCCCTCCCACTCCCCCTCCCACTCCCCCTCCCACTCCCCCTCCCACTCCCCCTCCCACTCCCCCTCCCACTCCCCCTCCCACTCCCCCTCCCACTCCCCCTCCCACTCCCCCTCCCACTCCCCCTCCCACTCCCCCTCCCACTCCCCCTCCCTCCACAACCGCCCTTTTCCCCTCTCTCACCCACCAACACACGACAGCAACCGCGTGTCACCCTCGCTGGACTTTGCTGTGCCGCGGGACCCCAACACGGCATACGACATGGTGGAGATCATCGAGCAGGTGGGGTGGGATGCGGTGGGGTGGGATGGGTGGGATGGGTGGGGAGGGGTGGGGTGGGTTGGGGTGAGGTTGTTGCATCCACACTTGCTGACTGGTTTTTGTTGGCATACGACATGGTTGAGATCATCGAGTAGGTGGGGACTCTTGAGAGTATCGCCATACGACACATGGGATGCGTATGGCATGGTCGGATGGCAAGAGGACGCCAACACTGCATGCGACATGGTGGAAATTATTGAGCAGGTGAGGTGGGGTGCCTGTGAGGAGGAAAAGGCGTGTGATGTGGTGGAAAAGGCATGGGGGGATGAAGCGGGGTGCGAGTGAGGAGAAGGGGGTAATCAACCATGCGGCGTGATTGTGGCTCCGACACTCATGAAGACCCGGTTGAAAAACGGATAGAGAGGAAGGATGAGGGACAGAGGCAGACAGAGGAGGGGTTTGTACATCCTTATGAAGTGACTCCTGAGATTCTGACAAGTGGATTGAGAGGAGGGGCGAGGGGTGGAGTGCGCAGGGAGAAGAGAATTGATTTCCACCCGACAAATCAGTTCCCTTCTCCCTGCGCAATCTACCCCTCGCCCTTCCTCTCTGCCCACTTGTCAAAGGTGTCGTCAAAACTTGAGGAGTCACTTCACAAGGAAGACCAAAGCCCTCCTCTGTCAGCCTCTGTCCCTCATCCCTTCTCTCTGTCCTTTTTTCAACCGAGTCTGCCTGAGTGCCGGAGTCACAATCACGCCGCATGGTTGATTACCCCCTTCTCCTCTCTCGCACCCCGTTTCATTCCCCCACGCCTCTTCCACCACATCATACGCCTCCTCCTCCGCACTCTCTCCTCCTTGTCCGGGTTACTCGTTGGGGGCCGAATAAGGAGTTCTCTTTTGGGGGGGAAATACTCGACCGAGTCGAGCCGAGTATTAGTCGACGAGTTTTTTGTGCTCGTCGAATACTCGGCCTACTGACGAGCATTTTTGGCTACTGGGGGGAGTTTTTTGTGCTCGATGAGTTTTTTCGTGCTCGTCGAGCATGTGGGAGTCTCGTCCCTACGCTAATAGAGAAATTGTGGGAATGGTTGGGTACAAATCTGAGAAACGCATTTGTACCCAACCACCGCAATTTCCACCGCTCGCAAAATTGCCGAGCGGGTGAAAATTGTCGAGTCTTGCCGGCGAATCTCCTGGGATCGAGTCAAAGTGTTTGCGAACTGTTATCGCGAAACAATTTGTCGCGACTCAAGTCTCCTCCTCTCAATCCACCCCAATTCCCCACATCTTAACAGACTTAGCTACCTACCGCGCTTAATTTCTAACCTAGTTTCTAGTTCCGTAGACTATGCAACTTAGTACCTAGCTGATTTCTTAGCATGTTTTACCTCCGTCTTAGGAACGTTTCTAATTTGATCAAACTAAAACGAGTCACTAAGATACAAACAAAGCATCATGGCGACGAGTGCAACCTAGACATGTTTTGTAGAAAAATTATGCGGGGCTGATTTTGCAGTCACAACGCAACGGGCCGAGCATTACTCGAACTCGGACGAGCTTTCAGAAATGCTCGTCCGAGCCTTTAAAAACTCGCCCAAAAAGACAAGGAACAAGTATGCAAAGTCCTAAAAAATGCTCGTCCAAGCTTTAAAAAACTCGCCCAAAAAGACAAGTAACGAGTATGCAAAGTCCTAAAATATGCTCGTCCGAGCTTTAAAAAACTCGCCCAAAAAGACAAGTAACGAGTATGCAAAGTCCTAAAAATGCTCGTCCGAGCTTTGCTCGACTCGGTGCAAAACGTGAACGAGTTGTACCGTAAACAAGTCGAGCAAAACTCGACTCGTCAGTTTGCCCATGTGTAACGTCTCGTCAACTCCCTTACCATAGAGAACTCCCTTTGCGCGGATGCACACTCTACTCCACCACGCACACCGTGCTTTCCACCCCCACCCCCCTCCCCCTTCTCTTCATTTCTTCTCACTCGCCCGTGCTCGGCATCATCAGGTGGTGGACGATGGGGAGCTGTTTGAGGTGCAGGGAGGCTTTGCACGAAACATCCTCATTGGATTCGCGGTGAGTCAATGCTGGTCAACCCTAGTCAATGCTGGTCAAGCCTAGTCAATGCTGGTCAAGCCTAGTCAATGCTGGTCGATTCTCCTGGTCAACTGCAGCTGATGCATTTATTCTGATGGAACACAACGCAGCCTCGTGTTACAATCTGACAGCAATTGATCGTCAACATCGACTGCGGTGACTCATCCCTGTTCACTTCTCTTCCTTCTTGGTCGGTCTTTCCACATGTTCTCCCCATCTTTCTTTACACCATGCTCCCCCCATGCTTCCCCCATATACTCCTCATCTTCACCCCATCTTCCCCCCATCTGGGCGCCATCAGAGGCTGGACGGGGGCACGGTGGGAGTGGTGGCGAATCAGCCCAAGGAGCAGGCGGGCTGCCTCGATATCAACGCCTCCATTAAGGTGAAGTGTGGGGCAAAAAGGTTGCACCGTTACGATGTGTGTTACAGTGTGTAACAGTGTTACATGTTGAATGAATATCAACGCCTCGATCAGGGTAAATTGTGGGGTTGCATGGTACGCTAGTGAACTGAAGCACTACGCGTGTGCTGGAGGCTGAAGCCATGGTGGTCCAGCATTACATGTGAATTCAAAGTGTTGAATCAGCCAAACCAATGAGCAGACTGGGTGGGTGCCTCTCTGGACCCCAACAAGGATTGTCATAAATTGCGGTGAACAAGGTTAAACGAGTTGTCTCAAGCTGAAACGTTACAGTGAAGCAGCAAAGGTATGTCTGCATTAATACTATATCTTGTTGACAACACACACGTGCTTCAATTCGATACCTCTGCCTGCCCTGCACGCAATGTCATGGCATGTGACCAATTGCACTGATATGGTGTTCTACAACATTGCATGGAATGTAACCGCATGGCATGGCGCGCTGTGGCATGGTCTGCATTCACACCACACGAGTGCAGGGAGCTCGCTTTGTGCGTTTCTGCGATGCGTTCAACATCCCCATCCTCACCTTCGTCGACGTCCCAGGCTTCCTCCCAGGTACCGTGCTTCTATCCATTCCATGGTTCCATGCATCATCCATCCGAGTCGGGTCAAGTCGAGTCTAGGTACCCATTGCAACTTGCGATATTCTCTGCTCGCATCCGTGCTGTCTGCGTTGCGTGTTTCTATCAACAACGGCCCGCATGAGTCGATGCGAAGCTGCTTGTGCTTGTGGTTCATGCATGCATGGATGCACGTCCTGCTGTGCAAGTCCACATGTGTTTCGAGTCGACTCAAAACACTGCTGGTGTATATGCACGACAACACGTGTGCTTTGTGCTGTGCTGTGTGCCGTGTGTGCTTTTGTGGGCAGGCACGGGGCAGGAGCATAGCAGCATCAGGCAGGGGGCGAAGCTGCTGTACGCCAATGCAGTGATGCATGTGTGTGTTCTGAGCAATCATGATCGTCTGTGTGTCTTTGTGTGTCCACACGTCTCCCTCTGCCGGTGCAGGCACAGAGCAGGAGCATGGTGGCATCATCAGGCAGGGGGCGAAGCTGCTGCAGTCAGTGATACATAAATGTGCATTCTCTGTGTCTATGTGTGTCCATGTCTGTCCGTGTGCGTGTGTCTCTGCCCGTGCAGGCACGGAGCAGGAGCACAACGGCATCATCAGGCAGGGGGCGAAGCTGCGGCACCCAGTGATACATAAATGTGTATTATGTGTGTTCATATGTGTGCATTTCTGCCCCTGCAGGCACAGAGCAGGAGCACAACGGCATCATCAGGCAGGGGGCGAAGCTGCTGTACGCCTATGCGGAGGCCACGGTGCCCAAGCTCACTGTCATCACTCGCAAGGCGTATGGGGGGGCGTACGACGGTGAGACAAGCAGGAAGAAGCATATGAGTGTGTGCGTGGGCGAGTGTGTGGGTGTGGGTGTGGGTGTGGGTGTGGGTGTGGGTGTGGGTGTGGGTGTGAGTGTGGGTGTGGGTGTGGGTGTGGGTGTGGGTGTGCGTGTGGGTGTGCGTGTGGGTGTGGGTGTGGGTGTGGGTGTGGGTGTGCGTGTGGGTGTGGGTGTGGGTGTGGGTGTGCGTGTGGGTGTGGGTGTGGGTGTGCGTGTGGGTGTGGGTGTGGGTGTGCGTGTGGGTGTGGGTGTGGGTGTGGGTGTGCGTGTGGGTGTGGGTGTGGGTGTGGGTGTGGGCGTGGGCGTGGGCGTGGGCATGTGCGTGTGTGTGCGTGTGTGTGCGTGGGGCTATACGGTGCGAGTGTTGTTTACACAACCATGCAGAGGCCACGGTTTTGAAGTGTGGCTGTGGCTTCTGCATATGGTAGTTTATGGCTGTGAGAGAGGTGGGTGTGTTGAGGGTGTTGTGTGACTGCTTGTGGTGCGTGGGTGTGGTGCATCTATGCTTGAGCTCCCCAGAACGTGAGGGGTGGCCCTAGCCTCTGCTCCTTGCTCCTCTCAACCTTTTCGCTCCTTGCTCCTCTCAACCTTTTCGCTCCTTGCTCCTCTCAACCTTTTCGCTCCTTGCTCCTCTCAACCTTTTCTCTCCTTGCTCCTCTCAACCTTTTCGCTCCTTGCTCCTCTCAACCTTTTCGCTCCTTGCTCCTCTCAACCTTTTCGCTCCTTGCTCCTCTCAACCTTTTCGCTCCTTGCTCCTCTCAACCTTTTCGCTCCTTGCTCCTCTCAACCTTTTCGCTCCTTGCTCCTCTCAACCTTTTCGCTCCTTGCTCCTCTCAACCTTTTCGCTCCTTGCTCCTCTCAACCTTTTCGCTCCTTGCTCCTCTCAACCTTTTCGCTCCTTGCTCCTCTCAACCTTTTCGCTCCTTGCTCCTCTCAACCTTTTCGCTCCTTGCTCCTCTCAACCTTTTCGCTCCTTGCTCCTCTCAACCTTTTCGCTCCTTGCTCCTCTCAACCTTTTCGCTCCTTGCTCCTCTCAACCTTTTCGCTCCTTGCTCCTCTCAACCTTTTCGCTCCTTGCTCCTCTCAACCTTTTCGCTCCTTGCTCCTCTCAACCTTTTCGCTCCTTGCTCCTCTCAACCTTTTCGCTCCTTGCTCCTCTCAACCTTTTCGCTCCTTGCTCCTCTCAACCTTTTCGCTCCTTGCTCCTCTCAACCTTTTCGCTCCTTGCTCCTCTCAACCTTTTCGCTCCTTGCTCCTCTCAACCTTTTCGCTCCTTGCTCCTCTCAACCTTTTCGCTCCTTGCTCCTCTCAACCTTTTCGCTCCTTGCTCCTCTCAACCTTTTCGCTCCTTGCTCCTCTCAACCTTTTCGCTCCTTGCTCCTCTCAACCTTTTCGCTCCTTGCTCCTCTCAACCTTTTCGCTCCTTGCTCCTCTCAACCTTTTCTCTCCTTGCTCCTCTCAACCTTTTCGCTCCTTGCTCCTCTCAACCTTTTCGCTCCTTGCTCCTCTCAACCTTTTCTCTCCTTGCTCCTCTCAACCTTTTCGCTCCTTGCTCCTCTCAACCTTTTCGCTCCTTGCTCCTCTCAACCTTTTCGCTCCTTGCTCCTCTCAACCTTTTCGCTCCTTGCTCCTCTCAACCTTTTCGCTCCTTGCTCCTCTCAACCTTTTCGCTCCTTGCTCCTCTCAACCTTTTCGCTCCTTGCTCCTCTCAACCTTTTCGCTCCTTGCTCCTCTCAACCTCTTCGCTCCTTGCTCCTCTCAACCTTTTCGCTCCTTGCTCCTCTCAACCTTTTCGCTCCTTGCTCCTCTCAACCTTTTCGCTCCTTGCTCCTCTCAACCTTTTCGCTCCTTGCTCCTCTCAACCTTTTCGCTCCTTGCTCCTCTCAACCTTTTCGCTCCTTGCTCCTCTCAACCTTTTCGCTCCTTGCTCCTCTCAACCTTTTCGCTCCTTGCTCCTCTCAACCTTTTCTCTCCTTGCTCCTCTCAACCTTTTCGCTCCTTGCTCCTCTCAACCTTTTCGCTCCTTGCTCCTCTCAACCTTTTCTCTCCTTGCTCCTCTCAACCTTTTCGCTCCTTGCTCCTCTCAACCTTTTCGCTCCTTGCTCCTCTCAACCTTTTCGCTCCTTGCTCCTCTCAACCTTTTCTCTCCTTGCTCCTCTCAACCTTTTCGCTCCTTGCTCCTCTCAACCTTTTCGCTCCTTTCTCCTCTCAACCTTTTCGCTCCTTGCTCCTCTCAACCTTTTCGCTCCTTGCTCCTCTCAACCTTTTCGCTCCTTGCTCCTCTCAACCTTTTCGCTCCTTGCTCCTCTCAACCTTTTCGCTCCTTGCTCCTCTCAACCTTTTCGCTCCTTGCTCCTCTCAACCTTTTCGCTCCTTGCTCCTCTCAACCTTTTCGCTCCTTGCTCCTCTCAACCTTTTCTCTCCTTGCTCCTCTCAACCTTTTCGCTCCTTGCTCCTCTCAACCTTTTCGCTCCTTGCTCCTCTCAACCTTTTCTCTCCTTGCTCCTCTCAACCTTTTCGCTCCTTGCTCCTCTCAACCTTTTCGCTCCTTGCTCCTCTCAACCTTTTCGCTCCTTGCTCCTCTCAACCTTTTCGCTCCTTGCTCCTCTCAACCTTTTCGCTCCTTGCTCCTCTCAACCTTTTCGCTCCTTGCTCCTCTCAACCTTTTCGCTCCTTGCTCCTCTCAACCTTTTCGCTCCTTGCTCCTCTCAACCTTTTCGCTCCTTGCTCCTCTCAACCTTTTCGCTCCTTGCTCCTCTCAACCTTTTCGCTCCTTGCTCCTCTCAACCTTTTCGCTCCTTGCTCCTCTCAACCTTTTCGCTCCTTGCTCCTCTCAACCTTTTCGCTCCTTGCTCCTCTCAACCTTTTCTCTCCTTGCTCCTCTCAACCTTTTCGCTCCTTGCTCCTCTCAACCTTTTCGCTCCTTGCTCCTCTCAACCTTTTCGCTCCTTGCTCCTCTCAACCTTTTCGCTCCTTGCTCCTCTCAACCTTTTCGCTCCTTGCTCCTCTCAACCTTTTCGCTCCTTGCTCCTCTCAACCTTTTCGCTCCTTGCTCCTCTCAACCTTTTCGCTCCTTGCTCCTCTCAACCTTTTCGCTCCTTGCTCCTCTCAACCTTTTCGCTCCTTGCTCCTCTCAACCTTTTCGCTCCTTGCTCCTCTCAACCTTTTCGCTCCTTGCTCCTCTCAACCTTTTCTCTCCTTGCTCCTCTCAACCTTTTCGCTCCTTGCTCCTCTCAACCTTTTCGCTCCTTGCTCCTCTCAACCTTTTCGCTCCTTGCTCCTCTCAACCTTTTCGCTCCTTGCTCCTCTCAACCTTTTCTCTCCTTGCTCCTCTCAACCTTTTCGCTCCTTGGTCCTCTCAACCTTTTCGCTCCTTGCTCCTCTCAACCTTTTCGCTCCTTGCTCCTCTCAACCTTTTCGCTCCTTGCTCCTCTCAACCTTTTCGCTCCTTGCTCCTCTCAACCTTTTCGCTCCTTGCTCCTCTCAACCTTTTCGCTCCTTGCTCCTCTCAACCTTTTCGCTCCTTGCTCCTCTCAACCTTTTCTCTCCTTGCTCCTCTCAACCTTTTCGCTCCTTGCTCCTCTCAACCTTTTCTCTCCTTGCTCCTCTCAACCTTTTCGCTCCTTGCTCCTCTCAACCTTTTCGCTCCTTGCTCCTCTCAACCTTTTCGCTCCTTGCTCCTCTCAACCTTTTCGCTCCTTGCTCCTCTCAACCTTTTCTCTCCTTGCTCCTCTCAACCTTTTCTCTCCTTGCTCCTCTCAACCTTTTCTCTCCTTGCTCCTCTCAACCTTTTCTCTCCTTGCTCCTCTCAACCGCCTCCCTCTTTCCTGCAATGATTAGCTCTAAGCTCCTGACAGGCAACGCCACCTATGCAGCCTTGCCCTTCTTCTCCCATCTCCCTTGCTCTTGGTCTCCCACCCCACCCCACTCCACCCCACCCCACCCCACCCCGAGCAGTCTCGAGCACCAAGAACCTGAGGGGCCACGCCATTTATTGCCCCCTTGCCTTGCTTCTCACATCTCTTATGCTCTTGGCCACCCCACCCCAAACCACCCCACCCACCCCACCCACCCCACCCCACCCCAACCCACCCCACCCCACCCCACCCCACCCTCTGCGTGCAGTGATGAGCTCGAAGCACCTGAGGGGCGACGCCAACTACGCATGGCCATCGGCAGAGATTGCAGTGATGGGAGCCAAGGTGCGATGCCCATCAGTCTTTACATGTATGCGTGGGCGCGCGAGCTATATGTGTGCGTGCGTGTGCTCATGTGTGTGTTTTGTAAAGCATTCTACCTATTTTCCATTGATTTTTTTTCCTTTCCTTTTTCCACTTTGACAAATGGCCACCACCCAACTGTTTCGTACTTCTGCTCCCCCCTCCCATTCCATCTGTACCCTCTCTCAGAGAGCGGCAGAGATCCGAGGTGACTTTTGAGTCGACTCAAAAGCCATTCCATCTGTACCCTCTCTGAGAGAGCGGCAGAGATCCGAGGTGACTTTTGAGTCGACTCAAAAGCCATTCCATCTGTACCCTCTCTCAGAGAGCGGCAGAGATCCGAGGTGACTTTTGAGTCGACTCAAAAGCCATTCCATCTGTACCCTCTCTCAGAGAGCGGCAGAGATCCGAGGTGACTTTTGAGTCGACTCAAAAGCCATTCCATCTGTACCCTCTCTCAGAGAGCGGCAGAGATCCGAGGTGACTTTTGAGTCGACTCAAAAGCCATTCCATCTGTACCCTCTCTGAGAGAGCGGCAGAGATCCGAGGTGACTTTTGAGTCGACTCAAAAGCCATTCCATCTGTACCCTCTCTCAGAGAGCGGCAGAGATCCGAGGTGACTTTTGAGTCGACTCAAAAGCCATTCCATCTGTACCCTCTCTCAGAGAGCGGCAGAGATCCGAGGTGACTTTTGAGTCGACTCAAAAGCCATTCCATCTGTACCCTCTCTCAGAGAGCGGCAGAGATCCGAGGTGACTTTTGAGTCGACTCAAAAGCCATTCCATCTGTACCCTCTCTCAGAGAGCGGCAGAGATCCGAGGTGACTTTTGAGTCGACTCAAAAGCCATTCCATCTGTACCCTCTCTCAGAGAGCGGCAGAGATCCGAGGTGACTTTTGAGTCGACTCAAAAGCCATTCCATCTGTACCCTCTCTCAGAGAGCGGCAGAGATCCGAGGTGACTTTTGAGTCGACTCAAAAGCCATTCCATCTGTACCCTCTCTCAGAGAGCGGCAGAGATCCGAGGTGACTTTTGAGTCGACTCAAAAGCCATTCCATCTGTACCCTCTCTCAGAGAGCGGCAGAGATCCGAGGTGACTTTTGAGTCGACTCAAAAGCCATTCCATCTGTACCCTCTCTCAGAGAGCGGCAGAGATCCGAGGTGACTTTTGAGTCGACTCAAAAGCCATTCCATCTGTACCCTCTCTCAGAGAGCGGCAGAGATCCGAGGTGACTTTTGAGTCGACTCAAAAGCCATTCCATCTGTACCCTCTCTCAGAGAGCGGCAGAGATCCGAGGTGACTTTTGAGTCGACTCAAAAGCCATTCCATCTGTACCCTCTCTCAGAGAGCGGCAGAGATCCGAGGTGACTTTTGAGTCGACTCAAAAGCCATTCCATCTGTACCCTCTCTCAGAGAGCGGCAGAGATCCGAGGTGACTTTTGAGTCGACTCAAAAGCCATTCCATCTGTACCCTCTCTCAGAGAGCGGCAGAGATCCGAGGTGACTTTTGAGTCGACTCAAAAGCCATTCCATCTGTACCCTCTCTCAGAGAGCGGCAGAGATCCGAGGTGACTTTTGAGTCGACTCAAAAGCCATTCCATCTGTACCCTCTCTCAGAGAGCGGCAGAGATCCGAGGTGACTTTTGAGTCGACTCAAAAGCCATTCCATCTGTACCCTCTCTCAGAGAGCGGCAGAGATCCGGCACAAGACGTGGGCTTGGAGAGCCTGACAGTGGAGTGCACACGAAAGTAGGGAGGTAAATTGATGTGTGCCCCCATCTGCCTCTCACCCCCCAGGGCGCAGCAGTGATCCTACACAGGGGCAGCGTTGACTTGGAGGGTCTGACAGCCGAGTAATTGCCCTTCTCCCCCTTTTACCGCCAACCTTTCATCTCTCTCCCCTTTCCAGGGAGCAGCAGTGATCCTCCACAGGGGCAGCGTGGACCTGGAGAGCCTCACAGCAAAGTACCCACGCACGCAGGGAGGGTGATTGTCCTTTTTGTTGCAAACCTTCATCTCTCTCCCCTTCCAGGGCGCAGCGGAGATCCTGCACAGGGGCAGCGTGGACTTGGAGAGTCTGACAGCGGAGTACACTCGCAAGTTCGCCAACCCGTACAGTGCGGCGCAGCTGGGATATGTGGATGCTGTTATCATGCCGAGAGACACACGCAAGGTGCTCTGCAAGGAGATGGCTCGTTTGAGGAATAAGGTGAGGGCAATTTGGGAAGTTGCGAGGGGTTGGAAGGGGTTGGGAGGAGTTGTTGGGTGGAAGTTGGCGAATTTGTACAGTGCGGCGCAGCTGGGGTATGTGGATGCAGTCATCATGCCGAGAGACACAAGGAAGGTGCTCTGCAAGGAGATGGCGCGACTTAGAAACAAGGTGAGCGGTTGGGAGAGGTTGGGAGGGGGTGAGGGGGGTCGGGAGTGGGTACGAGGGGGTTGGGAGCGGTTGAGAGGGGTTGGTGGTTGCAAGGTGGCCAACCGTACAGTGCAGCGCAGCAGGGGTATGTGGATGCAGTCATCATGCCGCCGAGGGACACAAGCAAGGAGCTTTGCAAGGATAACGTGAGGGATCAGGAGGAATTGGGAGGGGTTGGGAGGGGTGTTTGTGTATGTGGGCAGAGCTCGGGTGTGTGTGCACATTTGCGTGTTTGGTGCGGTGGCATGTTGGTGTGCGGTGGTGTGCGGTCTTATGCGGTGGATGGGGAGAGTGCTGCTTGTAGAAATGGCCCCAAACCAAGATGAGGAGGGGGAGAGAGAAGACGAGAGCAAGATGAGGAATAAGGAACAGGGCGAAGGTAGTACTGGGAGAGCGGTGGTTGGGGCGTGGATGGTCAAGATGCGTATTAGGCACGCACCATAATTTTGTTGTTAAGTATTGATTCTGAGCTGGAAATTACCATGAAAGTTTCTGAACTTTCTGGTTGCACAAAGGTTGGATGGTCGCGATATATGGACAGGCATAGCATAGTAGGTATGTATGATACGATCCTGGATGCTCAACGAGCCAACCAGGTGATTGAGCATCACCTCCGTTTTCACCTGCAGCCAGGTTCATGCATTAAGTAGAAATACTAACTTGGTATGCAAGTATACATTTGTTGCGTTGAACTGTGGGACTGATTGTGTGAATGTGGGTGTGGTCTTGGTTGTGTGTGTTAGTGTGTGCCTGTGGGGGTCAAGGGGGGGTGGATGTGGATGCGTGCGTGCGTGCGTGCGTGAGTGCGTGTGTGTGTGTGAGGGTGTGTGTGTGTGTTGGTGCCTGTGTTATATTGCCTGGCAGAAACTGTCCAATCCGTGGAAGAAGCACGACAACATGCCACTGTAACAAACAACCCTCGCTGGACCTCACAGCACCGCACTTCACCGCACAGCCTAGCACTGCACAGCATCGCACGCTCCACGAAAGCACCTCGAACACCATACGTCCATTCTGTACATTTGAGACGGCTCACATCGAAATTGCGCAGTCAGTGGAGAAAACATGACGAATGCCCCTCCCTGTGGTAGTCAGTCTGGCTGGATTCTTCAATCCTCATCGTGGCTGCATCTCTATGTATGGATCGTACACACAGGTTCAAAATGTGTGTGTTCTGTGGTTCATTTACCGGTATTTAGTTTGTACATTGTAGGGTCTTGTTTTGTGGTCCAATCTGGTACCTACTACTGCTTGCCCTGCCCACTATTCAGAAAAATTCACCCATTGGTATACTATACTATATGCGACACTTGGATACAATCAGCAGGCATGTTTCGACACGACAGTCGATCAATCCAACACCTCTCAAGCTCTCTGATCAGACCATGAAGCGATGATCGAGCATGCAAGTACCGTACCACAAAAGAACAGGGTCTGTGTGGGGTGGGACCCTCAGTTCAGTGGAGCATGAGGCGCATCCTGGCAGACCTGACAGACGGGATGTAGTCAATCCACCACCACTCTGTCACCCTACCCACGTCGGGCAGCACAGATAACTTTTTCAAGCCTTCGAGCTTTAAGAAGCTGAGGTTTTCCAGCCGCCCGAGAGATTCTGGCAGGCTGGGTGAGCGTGAGGGACGAGAGGGCAGAGAGCGCGGAGAAGGAATCAGGGAGAGAGGAGAATTGTGAACAATTACGCAGAGATAGGCTGGTGAGAGACGCCAGGCAAATAGCACAGCTCCGGCAAATAGCACAGCTCCAGCGTTTCAAGGTTTTTCAGCTGCCCTAGTGACTCGGGCAGCACAGATAACTTTTTCAAGCCTTCGAGCTTTAAGAAGCTGAGGTTTTCCAGCCGCCCGAGGGATTCTGGCAGGCTGGAGAGGCCGTGCATGTGGGTGAGCGTGAGGGACGAGAGGGCAGAGAGCGCGGAGAAGGAATCAGGGAGAGAAGAGAATTGTGAACAATTACGCAGAGATAGGCTGGTGAGAGACGCCAGGCCCCAGGGCTGCTGTGCGGTGCGCTGCTCCTTGCTGTGCTCTGGCTGTGGCTCTGGCTGTGGCTGTGGCTGTGGCTGTGGCTGTGGCTGTGGCTGTGGCTGTGGCTGTGGCTGTGCTCTGGCTGTGGTCTGGCTCTGGCTGTGGCTGTGGCTGTGGCTGTGGCTGTGGCTGTGGCTCTGGCTGTGGCTGTGGCTGTGGCTGTGGCTGTGGCTGTGGCTGTGGCTGTGGCTGTGGCTGTGGCTGTGGCTGTGGCTGTGGCTGTGCTCTGGCTGTGGCTCTGGCTCTGGCTGTGGCTGTGGCTGTGGCTGTGGCTCTGGCTCTGGCTCTGGCTGTGGCTGTGGCTGTGGCTGTGGCTGTGGCTGTGGCTGTGGCTGTGGCTGTGGCTGTGGCTGTGGCTGTGGCTCGGTGGGCTTATCGGTATGAGTGCAAGCAGTGGTGGGGCCAGCAGCAGCGGCTGTAGGAGCGACAGTGGCAGAAGCAGGAGCAGGGTCAAGAGGAGGGCGAGGGGCAAGGTGAGGAGGAGGGGCAGGGGCAGGATCAACGGAGAGAGCAGAAGCAAGGGAGCAGGTCACGCCTAATGCGGGATCCGGAGCAAACAGAGGCTCTAGGGACTCGAGGCGAGGGCAGGCGGTGATTTCGAGCTCTTGCAGGCGAGTCAGCATGGGCAGCTGGGGCGGCAGCCGCCTCAGTTCACTGCAGCCGCGCAGGTACAGCTTCTCCAGGCGGTGCCTCACACTCCCCGTGCACAGGCTTTCCGGCAGCTGCAGCAGACGCACACTCTCGATTCTCAACCTCCTCAATCGCTGTAAGTTGCCCACGCTCTCGGGCAGAGCACAGAGGTTGCGCAGATTGACCAGCGCTAGGGTTTCAAGGTGTGCCAGGGATCCGAGATTGTCAGGAAGAGAGGTGAGTGCAGGGCATGCGTCGATGGAGAGGGAGGAGAGGGGGAGGGAGCAGATGGTGTCCGGGAGGGTCTGGAGGGACCCCCAGCGAAGGAAAAGCTCCTCCAATCGCGTCATCGCCCCCATCACATGCTCGGGCAGGCACATTAAATGCTGGGACTGCAGCGAGAGGGAACGTAGGCTGGTGAGATGCTGAAAGGAATCCGGGATTGACTGCACACCCATCACAATGTCTAGGGTTTGCAAATGTGGTAAGAGACCAATCGAGCTGGGGAGGTGCGCGAGGCTGCTGGTGGAATCCGGGAGTCCTTGTAACGGCGACCCTGTATTCGAGCGGACTTCCCGTAGCTGCTGAAGCGCGCGGATGCTTTCGGTTGGCAAAAGCAGATGCTCGAAGTAATCGTCGCCAGTGCGGCGGCAGAGATGGAGGGTTGTGAGGTCGGAGAGGAGAGAGACGGCGGGCGGGAGGTGCGTGAGGTGGTTGAAGGTGAGCAGGCAGAGGTCGCGGAGCTTGCGACAGCCATGGAAGAGAGACGAGAGGCCGTTGCACGTGATGTGCAGGAGAGCCTGGTAGTGTACGGTCAAATGTGTCAAATGCGGACACGTGGCGCCCACGCATTGGAAGAAAGCATCGCCGTTCGGATTCGAAACGTGACAGTACCGAAGCTCGAGGTGCGTGAGGGAGGAGAAGCTGCGAATCGTGTCTAGGAGAACGGAGAATTGGATCCTGGAATTGACTCGGAGGTGCGTGAGCGAGAAGCGCGCTACGGCGTACCATTGCTTGGAGACAAGCGCGTAATGGAAGGAGTCGCGCGTTAGCGAGCGCAGCACGAGCGAGAGAAGATAATTATTGGATAGGACCTCCGCGATCGGTGAGGGAGGAGAGGAAGAAGTCCAGAAGGCGGGGAAGAGGGGAGACGGCATGGTAAGGTACATAGTGTTAGAAGTGGTTCGCCTCTGCATCGAATTTAGAGCATGAAGTAGACAAAATTAGATAATATTATGGGAGAATAGGCTTGAAGATCTCTTAGGACGGTGGGCGGAGCTACTAGGATGGTAAACGAGCTCTGTCGGGAGATGGTAGAGTTGAGGGAGCTCCGTCGAATCTCCATCTCTTCACCATCTCCTAACCAACGGAGAAAACGAGGGTTTGAGGGGAGATAGAACGTGGTGTTCGTTGAAATTCAAGTAGTCGGTTTCATTTCGGTTTCGGTTTGAATTTCATAGTCGGTTTTGCGATGCAAGGAAAAACCCTTTTCCTTACAGGGGCTTACTCAACCGCGTACAACCCCAACTTTCGGAAGTGCACGTTCGGCCACTTTGCTTGCTGCCGAAGCAACCTCGCGTCGCCTTCGGCCTTTCCTTTGCCCAACCTGCACCCAACCTCGTGTTCCCGAGGTTCCCGCCTAGCTAGGTTGGTCCACTATATTAGCGCGTGCCTTCATTGTATTGTCAGTTGATTGAGTCACATCTTCGTTATTCGTTATTCCGCGCACTCTCTTTTACAACTCATAACACCTGGTATCAGAGCTACTTTCCTTGTTCACCCCGCTTTTCGAGGGTAGTTTGGTGGCACGGGTGTGGTCGGTATAGTGGACTACACGACGGTTGGTTGCAAGGTTTGTTAATTCAATCCTGCCCGACTCCGATAGTTCGTGTTTTTTACTCACCGGAAGGCCACGGATACCCCTCTGCCCACCAGACGAAGCGTGCGACTCATGGACCAGAAGACATTGAACAAGATGCTGGCGCAAATGGCAGAGCTACAGGCAACAGTGCAGACTCTATCGGCAGAAGTGACAACACTACGAGGAGAAAACGCCGAGCTACGCCAGACGCGAGGTGAAGCGCGTCAGGAGTCGCCCAATGAAGAAGGCGAGGGCAACAGTCAAGCGGTGAGCAATCCGTTGGACGCGCTCATACGTGATTTCGAAGAAAAAGATAGGCAGCGAGCGGCAGCGACGCCAATTGCAGTAACAACGATCAAGATTAAACCCGTCAACCCGCCCCCGTTCAACCCTATGGACAAGACTACTACAGTCAAGGGGTGGCTTTTCGGCGTTGAAGTCTTCTTCACTGCAGCAGGCGTGAACGACGATGCCACACGTATTAATTGCGCGGTTTCTCTCCTTCGAGGCGCAGCGCTTGAGTGGTGGCGCCGAACCTTGGACACGGGGACCCCGACAGGTGTGACACATGCGGCAGACGGGACTTCAACGACGGTTAATCAAGTGGCAGCACCGATATTCAGCGTGACCAAGATACGCACGTGGAAGGAGTGGGGCGCTGCCTTACGAGATCGATTCGAGCACATATCCGGCTCGGAACAAGCTCGCATGAAGCTGCGTACCTGGTCGCAGTTGGCATCTGTCCAATACTACACAGCAACGTTCATGGCCCTCACCGACCAAGTGGACGACATGTCGGAAGCGGAGCGGTTAGACAAGTACGTCAGCGGCCTTAAATACGAGATACAGTATGAGGTGCGCCGATGCCGCCCGACATCGTTCCTGGAAGCAGCACGGTTGGCAGAATCCACGGACGCGCTGATGCAGTACGCGAGGTCGAGTTTCCGGGAGGGAAATCGTTTTTCGCGGCCAGACCCAACGGGCCACGATCAACGGAGTCCATGCACCAGACCGCTCCTACACAGGGTTGTGTTATAAGTGCGGGAAGCCGGGTCACAAATATGCATACTGCCCCGAGAAAACGCCGGCGAAGAGGAACGACGGGAAAGAGCCGGGAAATGGGAAGAGTTAGTAACAGACGGGCCCCTTACTGACTGTGCTCTGTCGCCCGAACACCATCATCCCCACCGAGTCGTGGTTCCGATTCATGCAATCGATCGCACTCGGCCGAATAACGGGGATAACCATGTGGATCACCCTGTGCTGGTCGTTGGCAAAGTGTTAAAAAATTACTTGAAAATGTTCGTCGACGGAGGGGCCAGCCATAGCCTCTTCAACTTGGCGACAGCAAAAAAATGCAAGTTGCAACTTGACAGGTGTCTGCCCGAAATCGACGCTCGCCTCGTGGATGGGACGCCTCTGGCGATTTTGGAAGAAACATGGACGGTTCGGATCGACTGCGGCGACGATTTCGGCTTCAGCATGAAGTTTCTCGCGACAACGTTGGACGGCTGCGACGTGCTACTGGGACGTGATTGGCTGCGACGGCACAACCCTGTCATCGACTGGACAACAGGATCGTGCAGCATCAGCAAGCACGAGGGGCTAATTAAATTGTCTGCATGGACACCTGACTACATCCAAGCCCCGTGCGTCAAAGCCATCACTATTGCTCGCCACTTCAACCGAGGCGCGCAGCTGTTCGCCGTATGTTTGCGCGAGTTGGCAACCGACACCGACGGAAAGGACATCGAGAAGCTGTGCGCAGCTGTACCACCTGATTTAGCGGAGCTGATTCGACAGTACCCGGACATCTTCCCCGACGATTTGCCACCTGGACTGCCACCCGAACGCCCCGAGGACCACAAAATCCAGCTGGAGCCTGGCGCACAGCCGACTGTTCGTACACAGTGGCGGTTGACCCAACCGGAACTCGAGCAGCTGCGACGACAAATTGAGGGACTTTTGGAGAAGGGGTTTATTCGACCCAGTACATCTCCCTTCGCAGCCCCAATTCTGTTCACGCCGAAGAAGGATGGCGGGTTTCGCATGTGTATCGACTATCGCGCGCTCAACCGGGTGACCATAAAATCTCGCTATCCAATCCTACGCACCGACGACCTCCTCGATCAACTTCGCGGCGCTCGCTACTTTTCGAAAATCGACTTGCGTGGCGGTTACCACCAGATTCGGGTCTTCGCCGACGACTGTCACAAGACCGCGTTTCGCACCCGCTATGGAAGCTACGAGTTCACAGTGATGCCGTTCGGCCTCACAAACGCGCCTTCGACATTTCAACTGACCATGAACAGGGTTTTCCGGGAATTCCTCGACAAGTGTGTGATCGTCTATTTGGACGATATTCTGATTTTTAGCAGGACAAGGAAACAACACCTCCGAGACCTCGACGCAGTGTTTAAGCGATTGCAGGAGAACCGCCTCATCACCAAGGGCTCTAAGTGCGAGTTTTTTAAGCAGGAGTTGGAGTTTTTGGGGCACGTCATCTCCCGCGACGGCATCAAGATCGACCCGGCGAAAATCAAGACTATTCTTGATCACAGAACTAACATCACAGAACTTCAAAGTTTTCTGGGCTTTGTGAATTACGTCAGGCGGTTTATCCCGAATATGGCGGGGATAACCGGCCCGCTGACCGACCTGCTGCACAAGGACAGGAATTTTGTGTGGGGGGAGGAAGCTGAGGCGACTTTTCAGGAGTTGAAGAATTTTCTCGTCTCCCCTCCGGTTTTGCACATCGTCGACCCGTCGAAGCCGTTCGAAGTCGTCACCGACGCCTCAGATTTCGCCATCGGAGCTGTACTCCTCCAGGATTTCGAGAACGGGCTGCAGCCGATCGCCTACGAGTCACGCAAACTGCAGGCAGCCGAGCGCAACTACCCGATACATGACAAGGAGATGCTCGCCATAATACACGCGTTCAAACTGTGGCGCTGCTACTTGGTGGGCGCCGACGTCACTGTTCGCACGGACCATAAGTCCCTACAATACATGCGAGCTCAGCCGAACCTCAACCCGCGACAAATTCGGTGGCTGGACTACATGGAGAGCCATTTCACCTACCGCATTACGTACAAGAAAGGGGCGAATAACATCGCCGACGCCCTTACTCGACCGACAGTTCAATCCGCTGCAGTGCTCATTACCCATTCGAACCCGCTACTTACGGGACTATTCACCCACGGCTACACTACGGACCCATTCTTCACGACTGGAAATCACCAGCAGGCAACGACGCAGAAGGGGAATTATTACCTAAAAGCCGGAACTGACCGGATTTGGGTTCCCGCTTACAGGCTGCTGCGTGAACTCCTTATTCAGGAGGTCCACGACTCTAACCTCTCCGGACATTTCGGGGTTGATAAAACCCAGAAGCTGTTGCACCGTCAATATTATTGGCCTGATTCTGCTAACGACGTGCAGCAATATGTGTCCTCATGCAGGGTGTGCCAAGCCATGAAATCGACACGTCAGCGGCCAGCTGGACTGCTGCAACCCCTCGAGCCACCCGAACGACCGTGGCAACAAGTGACGATGGATTTCGTCACGGGGCTGCCAGCTGGGCCGTGAGGCAACGACGCTGTTCTCGTCGTCGTCGACCGCCTCACGAAGATGGCGCACTTCGCACCGTGTCGTACAACAATCACAGCCGAAGAAACTGCGCGCCTCTTCATCTCGACCGTCGTGCGACTACACGGAATCCCCGCAGCGATTATCAGCGACAGGGACCCGAAGTTCACGTCGAAATTCTGGAAGGAGACGTGGGCGCAGTACGGCACGAAGCTACAGTTCTCATCGGCATACCACCCGCAAACGGACGGCCAGACCGAGCGAACCAATCAGACGATGGAGCAGCTGATCAGAACAAACTGTTCCGACCCCACTCGCTGGGAAAACTCGCTCGCCATGCTGGAGTTCGCGTTCAACAACGCCCCGTCCAGCACGACTAATCACTCCCCGTTCTTCTTAAATTACGGGATGGACCCGACGGTGCCTACGACGACTACACTCGACAACCCAGTCCCGAGGTCACAAACATTTGTGACGGAACTTCAGGAAGTTCGCGAAAAGGCTGCGGATGCAATTCGCAAGGCAAATACCACTTCCCGTAAATACACCGACCTTCTACGACGGGAACTCGTCTTGGCAGCTGGGCAATTAGTACTACTCGACACGAAGAACCTGCACCTGCCCGGCCCATCGAAACTCCGGCCACGATTTTGTGGGCCTTTCAAGATCATCAAGTTGGTGACACCTGTCACCGCGAAGCTGCTGCTACCCGACGATTGGCGTATACATGACGCCTTCCATGTCAGCCTCCTTCGCAAGTTCGTGCCTGCCACGACAGATATCGCACGCCAGAACGCCGCCCCGACAGCCCGACCTGTCCCAGAACCGACACTTGACCCGTCCAAGATTTTGGCGCATCGTGTTCGGCTCGACGCTTCTAGACGCCACGTGGATTTTCTAATCCGCTGGACTGACCGCACCAGTGAGGACGACACTTGGGTGCCATCCGCCTCGCTTGAAGTTTCTCCGCTTCTTGGTGATTACCTCGCCCGCAAGCGAGCTGCGGATATTGACCACCTTTCTTAAAGGGGGGGGTAGTGTAAGGAAAAACCCTTTTCCTTACAGGGGTTTACTCAACCGCGTACAACCCCAACTTTCGGAAGTGCACGTTCGGCCACTTTGCTTGCTGCCGAAGCAACCTCGCGTCGCCTTCGGCCTTTCCTTTGCCCAACCTGCACCCAACCTCATGTTCCCGAGGTTCCCGCCTAGCTAGGTTGGCCCACTATATTAGCGCGTGCCTTCATTGTATTGTCAGTTGATTGAGTCACATCTTCGTTATTCGTTATTCCGCGCACTCTCTTTTACAACTCATAACATGCGACGAGGCGCGTTACACGAGGCGAGAATTTGGATTTCGATTTACGGTATGATACAAATCCAAATGTGTGAATTTTTTCTTTTGCCACGTTTCTTGAAAGTGCTCGTTGGTTGCCTCTCGCGAGCAATAGGCAAGAGCACCTGCCTGAGCGTTCTTTCGACGGCGTTTCAGCAATAATTCCATTGAAACACTTGAAATCCGTACTTGCAACTTCTGAAGTGCTCGAATCTGTTATTATAACAGCAAAACACTGTAGCTGAATAACATATACTGTACGTGTGGGCCAGCAACACCGTGGCCTCGCTGACACTTGCAATGATATCCTATTGCAAGCAGGTACATGCAATGGCACACGACCAGCAGCAGCAGCAGCAGCAGCAGCAGCAGCAGCAGCGTGTCAGCTTTCCCGTGTCACATAGTCAAGTGCTAGCTTGGCACGACACTGCAGGGAGCATCAGACAGGAAGGACAGCAAAGCAGAGCACAGGCATGTTTGTGCCACCACACACACAGACACATACCTGCTCACACGCACACGCACACACACACGTGTGTCCATGCACGACGAAGCACAGTGCGTTTCGCCCACTCACTCAACTCAACCACCACCACCACTCTTTGCTCAACTCAATCACAACAACCCGAGTGCGCAAAAACCTCAAAACGACCACACACAAAAGCCTATTCACAGCAACAGAAAAGCAGAGGGCGAGTGAGGGCAGCCTATCCACAGCATGTCTTACAGCGATGTCACCACGCCCTCTACTGCCCTCACAGCAGCAGAGGGCGAGTGCAGCGAGATCGATTCATCGCAACACACGAGCAAAGAGCGAGTGCATGTGTGTATGTCTTACAGCGATGTCGAAGCTCCCTTGCGCTGCCATCCTCTCCAGCTGCGCCACCACGCCCTCTGCTGCCCTCACCGCAGCAGCTCGCCTGTCAGCCCCCGGGCAGGCGGGGCGGCAGAGGTTGGCGAGGCACCAGAGGGAGGCCAGGCGCAGCGATGTGCAGCCACGCAGGCGCAGCAGGTGCAGGATGAGCGGAGGAGGAGGGGAGTTGCTGGGACGGATCGAGCTGGAAGGTGGGTGGTGGTGGAGAAGATGGGGCAGAGGGGTGGCTACCAGCGGTTTTCCTTTTCCCTCTCGCCCCTTGATGCTGCCAGAAGCACCAGCACTTGGACTCGAGCCTGCACCACTGCATGCGACCGCGTTCACTCCATCTGCTTCCACGCTCCCTGGCGCCCCACACACGGCTTCTTCACTCTCTGCTCCTGCCTGCCAACGGGCTTCAAACTCCCTGACCTTGGCGGCAGGCAGCAGCAGCAGCGGCAGCACAGAGTCCTTGGCCTGTGCGCCCCCTGCTGCCACGTTGCTCAGAGCCAGCATGGACTGGTGGGATACAGGTAGGGCGGCAGGGAACAGGTTGGGGGGGTCTTTTGAGTCGACTCAAATACACCTGCTGCCACGTTGCTGGGATACATAGGAGCAGAGGGCAGTACGAGGGAGATTGAGCTTACAGATTGAACAGCAAGCAAAAAGAGAGTCAGAAAGAGATGGAACGGAGCACAGCACCTCCACGCACCTCCACTCGCACCGCATACTGAGCCCGCCGCACTGCCGCCAACTCTGCCTCCGCATCCCACCCACCCTCCTCCTCTGCATCCCCTCCTGCGTCTCCTCCCACTGCGCCTCTCGCTCCTCCCGCTGCTCCTCCTGCTAAGGCTGGTCTGAGGGGCGGTGGGCGGGCGGGCAGCAGTTTGGCGGCGAGGAGGCGCAGGAGGGCGCCGTGGAGGGCAGCGGGGGCCAGCAGCAGGTGGGCGGCCTCCTCTGCTCCGTGCGCCACGTTGCGCAGCAGTGCCGCTGCCTGCACCTGCACACTTGGCGAGGAGTCTGGCGGGATAAGGTGGGGATGGATGCAGAGCGGTGGAGGTAGGGCGACGACGGGTAGCAGAGAGGTCCGCATTCGCAGCAGGTGGGAGAGGGGTGGGCAGCGGGTGACGGCAGCAACAACGCAGACAAGGCATGAGAGAAGGAGACACGGGAATGCGACACGGGAATGCGACACGGGAATGCGACACGGGAATGAGATGCGGGAATGAGATGCGGAAATGAGATGCGGAAATGAGATGCGGAAATGAGACGCGGAAATGAGATGCGGAAATGAGATGCGGAAATGAGACGCGGAAATGAGATGCGGAAATGAGATGCGGAAATGAGATGCGGAAATGAGATGCGGAAATGAGACGCGGAAATGAGATGCGGAAATGAGATGTGGAAATGAGATGCGGAAATGAGATGCGGAAATGAGACGCGGAAATGAGATGCGGAAATGAGATGCGGAAATGAGATGCGGAAATGTGACGCGGGAATGAGACATGAAGCAGGCACCCACTTGGCAGAAGAGCAGGCAGGCACGCACCTAGCAGCAGGGCGGGCAGGGTGGTGGGCAGCATGAGGGCGAGCAGCTGCTGCTTCACAGCTGTGGTGGCGGAGTGAGCCACGTTGCGCAGTACCATCACACTGCGCTCCACCACCTCCCCTGCTACCCGCCTTCTCCCCCCCTCTTCCCCCCCCACACTCCCCCCCACATACCCCTCCACACTTCTCTCCATTCTCCCCTTCACGCCACCTTTCACACCCTCCTCTTGCACGCACCCCTCCCGCCCCCCTGTTGCGAGCTGGGCCATGCAGGTGAGCAGCCCTGCGTGCACGAGAGCACCCGTGTCGCCACGGAAGTCCAGCAGCAGATTAGCCAATGCTGACACCGCAGCTAACTGCAGCACAGCAAGGTGAGGCCATGTGAAAGGCGGGAGAAGGGAGTGGGGGTGTAAAGAGAGGGAAGGTGAAGCACAGATGGGAGTTGCTCAACATGTAGTGCTAATTGGCCATCGCTGCCAGTGCTGCTTTCTGGGCGAGCGTTGAGGCTGAGTGGGGCTTGGGGGAAACAGGATGTGCGAAACAGGGTGGAGAAGAAGGGGGGTGGGGAAGCGAAGGGGGTGGGGAAGCGAAGGGGGTGGGTGGCAGGGCAGAGGCATCGGGGGAGGGCGCACCTGGGCAGAGGCATCGGGGGAGGGCGCACCTGGGCAGAGGCATCGGGGGAGGCGGCGAGGTTGAGCACGGTGAGGATGATGGGCGCCGTGGACAGGCCCGTGCGGAGATTCTGAACACACCCACGTGGAGAGAAAGGGGAAGAATGTGGGTTGGGGGGTAGGGGAGGGTAGGCAGTGGGGAAGATTGCAGACAGATGAGGCGAAGAAGGGTTCACGAGGGTGAGAAAGGCAGTGAGGACCTAGAAAGTTTCCACGCTGAGAGGATTTATACTGGGTTTATGGAGGCAGACCAGGGCGATTTGAAGGGTCGCACGTTGACGGCGAATGCCCGCTCTGCAAACTACTTAACTCGTGAATTGTGCTTGTACTCCGTATCACTCGAGTGTTTGAAAAGTAACTGGAGTCAAGCAAGGAGCGCTGCACCTTGATGGAGCGCGAGAGCGAGTGCAGGCAGGAGCACGCAGCGGCGCGCAGGGGCATGGGCTGGGAGGCGTCGAGGCAGCGCAGCAGCGGCTGAAGCACCTGTGGGCATGGATGAAGGGGGGTTGGCGGGAAGGAGGGAGGGGAGGGAGGGGAGCGGGGAGAGAGCGAGGGAGGGAAGAGGCGGCCTGTACGACAACGAGAGAAGGTGAGTCCAGAGTGGGGAGAGAACAGTGCAGTGCACGTTATCACCTGCACCAGGCATCACCTGCACCCGGCATCACCTTGAGGTCGAGTGCCTGGCGGCGGATGGGCTCCCACGAGGAGCACAGCACTGCTAGCGCCGCCAATGCACTCTCCCTCTGCACCGCACTGCGTTCCACCGCCACCGCACTGCCCTCCCCCTCACTCCTCCCCTTCTCCCCTCCCCGCACACTCCCTCCTCCGCCCTCACTCCTCCAGCCCAGCCCCTCCCCACTCCCCCTCCGCACCTCTCTCCACTCTCTCCCCTCGCGCCCCCCCCGCACCCTCGCTCCGTCGCCCCAAGCCATCCACCTGCGCGAGGGGAACTCCGCACTCTCCCTGCGCCCCACCCCGCTCAGCCATCCACGAGTGGCCCTAGGCTCGGTGAATACCAAGCCGTTGGAGGTAGGCTCGGCCAAGCCTACTGAGCCAAAAGTTACAACGGGTGGGGAGCGGGAGAAGAGTGGTCTGGTGGCAGCGGCAGCAGGGGGCGAGGAGGATGAGGGGATGAGTGGAGAGGGGAAGGATGGAAATGGGGGGATGGGAGGAGGGGGGGAGGAGGAGGGGATGGGAAAGGCAGAGGAGGAGGGGATGGGAGGCGAGGAAGAGGAGGTGATGGGGGGCGGTGAGGAGGCGGCAGGGGCGGGGCGGAGCAGAGCGACGAGCTCCGAGGCCGCGTGGGCGTTGAAGGCCGCCCACTGCACGTCCTCCCTGCCGCCCAGCAGCTGCTGCAGTAGCCTTGGCGCCTGCTCGCCCACCTGAGGGGGAGAGGAGGAAGTGGGGGAGGGAGACAGCGAGAATAGCTTGCTTGAGGGGGACTGAAAAAGGGTTAACAGAGGGGAACGAGAGGTGCAGTAATGAAAGACAGCTGGAGAGCATTCCGAAAGGCGAGCGCATCAGGGGAACCGCAGGAATGGTGGATGGAGGTGCAACAAGAGAATCAGGCGGCGTGAGCAGAGCGAGGAGGCGCAGAGGAGCAGAGAGGGGCTGACCGGGTGGGAGAGAGGCAGCAGGTTGATGAGCGCCACCAGCACCACCGCCGCCACGTTCACATCCACTGCCGCCGCCGCGCCCACTCCCATGCCCACGCCCACACCCACGCGCATCGGCCTCTCGCCACTGGCAGCAGTAGGAGGTGCGAGCGCGGTGGCAGGCGTGTGGGGCCCTGTGCGAGGGGACAAAAGCGCCCCGCACACCACATGGTGCGCCCGCTGCTCTTCGCTCTCCCGCCCACACACCGCCTGCTCGTGCCCTTGCTGCCCCGGCCACGTGCCCCGATCGCCCTTGGTCATCCCGCCTGCCTTCAACCCGCCCCATGCATCTCGTTTCACTCCACCGCCCCGCCCACCCGCCCGTCCAACCCCATCGCCTGCAATGCTGCCGCCGCTGCTGCTGCAGCTGCTGCGTGCAACCCGCTCAGCCCTCACGCTCGCAGCCGCCGCTGCAGCTGCTGTGGCAGGAGGTGGGCCAGCAGCACAGGCAGGGGCAGCAGCGGTGGTGGCCGGTGGAACTGCGGAGGTGGCAGGGGAAGGCAGGGCAGCGAGGGTGGGAGCGGGGTGCTGGAGGAAGGAGCGTGGCACGGCAGTGATGGCACCGCCGTGCGGCCAGAGGGCTGCCTCGACGTGCAGCAGGCAGCGGCAGGCATTGAGCCGCGTGGTGGGGGATGGGTGGCGCGTCAGACTCACCACCGCCGCCAGCGCTGCTCCCCCGCCCATATCTGCAGCACGTGCAGGGTGGAGGGTGTGTATCGGCAAGTTGCGGGAGGGAGGGCGGAAGGTAGGGTGGGGAAGGGGGAAAAGGGGCGGGGGGGACGGGAGTCGAGGAAGAAGTGGCGATTCTGAACGGTGTGTGTGTGTGCGAGTGAGCCATCTGCGCATTGAGTGAGTGAGTGAGTGAGTGAGGGAGTGAGAAGATGGTGGTTTGAACCGACGGCGAACACAGGCATGCAGCGGCAAGCAGGGCAGTGGAGCCATGCCCACACGCAGCAAGCAGCAGCACAGCGAATTGAATACACACTTGCACACCACACGCACCTACGAGAGCAGCGGCCTGCTGCCGGTTGCCCTTGACAGCCGCCGCCAGGGCGAGCAGAGCGGCATCGGTGCAGCGCGGTGACGAGGCGAGCAGGCGCGAGAGCGACAGCAGCCCGCCTGCTGCTGCCAGCGCTGCCTGTTGCTGGTGCGAGTGCACGCAGTGCGCTGCCACACTCGCTGCCACCTAGTGGGGACGGTGAGGGGAGGGGTGGGGGGTTGGGGTTGGGGGGATGGGGACAGGGGGAAGGGGGTGGGTACAGGCGGGAGTGGGGTGCTTTTGAGGCACACCAAAAGCTGCCTGCTGCTGGTGCGAGTGCACACAGTGCGCTGCCACACTGGCTGCAACCTGGTTGATAGGCAGAGGAAGGGTGGGGGGTTAAGGGGTGCTTTGGTTTGAAGCGCCTCAAACGATGCCTGCTGCTGGTGCGAGTGCACACAGTGCGCTGCAAAACTGGCTGCCACCTGGGAGATAGCAGAGGAAGGGCGGGGGTTAAGGGGTGCTTTGAATTGAAGAGCCCAAAAGCTGCTTGTTGCTGGTGCGAGCGAGTGCACACTGTGCACTGCCACACTGGCTGCCTCCTGGTGTGGAAGGGAAAGGAGGGGTGCGGGGGGAGGGGGTGGGAGGGGGAGCAAGCAAGACTAGAGTGCAGTGGAAACCTAGGCTTGAGAGGATGCATGGTGGTGCGCGAGGGTGTCAACACGCAGTGTGGTTACGCCATGCACACTCACCTCTGACACTGTCTCGTTGGGGGAGGCGAGCAGGGACGGCAGCAGGGTGAGGGCGGGCGAGAGCCAATCCCCTGCAGCAGTGCTGCCACGTGGCAGCGCAGGAGTGGACTGGAAGATCAGACGCAGTGACCTTGCAGCTGCCTGCACCACCTGTGTGTTGCAGATAGGTGCAGGGGGGGCAGAGTGGTGCAGAGAGGTGCAGAGAGGTTCAGAGAGGTGCAAAGTGGGGCAGACAGGGGCGTGCATGTGGTGCGGCGCCCATGGCACCGTGGCATGTCACGTCCATCCGTGGCATGTGGACATGGCATGGTATGGCAGCAAGCAGGCATCACCTTGGCATGGGGGTGCAGCAGGCAGCGCAGCAGAGGCAGCACGGCCCCAGCAGCCAGCACGGAAAGCACGCCCTCCGGCAGCATGTGGGCGTCACCATACCTTGGCATGGGGGTGTCACCATACCTTGGCATGGGGGTGTCACCATACCTTGGCATGGGGGTGTCACCATACCTTGGTGTGCGGGTGCAGCAGGCAGCGCAGCAGCGGCAGCACGGCCCCAGCAGCCAGCACGGAAAGCACGCCCTCCGGCAGCATGTGGGTGTCACCATACCTTGGCATGGGGGTGTCACCATACCTTGGTGTGCGGGTGCAGCAGGCAGCGCAGCAGCGGCAGCACGGCCCCAGCAGCCAGCACGGAAAGCACGCCCTCCGGCAGCATGTGGGCGTCACCATACCTTGGCATGGGGGTGTCACCATACCTTGGCATGGGGGTGTCACCATACCTTGGCATGGGGGTGTCACCATACCTTGGTGTGCGGGTGCAGCAGGCAGCGCAGCAGCGGCAGCACGGCCCCAGCAGCCAGCACGGAAAGCACGCCCTCCGGCAGCATGTGGGCGTCACCATACCTTGGCATGGGGGTGTCACCATACCTTGGCATGGGGGTGTCACCATACCTTGGCATGGGGGTGTCACCATACCTTGGCATGGGGGTGTCACCATACCTTGGTGTGCGGGTGCAGCAGGCAGCGCAGCAGCGGCAGCACGGCCCCAGCAGCCAGCACGGAAAGCACGCCCTCCGGCAGCATGTGGGCGTCACCATACCTTGGCATGGGGGTGTCACCATACCTTGGCATGGGGGTGTCACCATACCTTGGCATGGGGGTGTCACCATACCTTGGCATGGGGGTGTCACCATACCTTGGTGTGCGGGTGCAGCAGGCAGCGCAGCAGCGGCAGCACGGCCCCAGCAGCCAGCACGGAAAGCACGCCCTCCGGCAGCAGGTGGGCGTCACCATACCTTGGCATGGGGGTGTCACCATACCTTGGCATGGGGGTGTCACCATACCTTGGCATGGGGGTGTCACCATACCTTGGTGTGCGGGTGCAGCAGGCAGCGCAGCAGCGGCAGCACGGCCCCAGCAGCCAGCACGGAAAGCACGCCCTCCGGCAGCATGTGGGCGTCACCATACCTTGGCATGGGGGTGTCACCATACCTTGGCATGGGGGTGTCACCATACCTTGGCATGGGGGTGTCACCATACCTTGGCATGGGGGTGTCACCATACCTTGGTGTGCGGGTGCAGCAGGCAGCGCAGCAGCGGCAGCACGGCCCCAGCAGCCAGCACGGAAAGCACGCCCTCCGGCAGCATGTGGGCGTCACCATACCTTGGCATGGGGGTGTCACCATACCTTGGCATGGGGGTGTGACCATACCTTGGCATGGGGGTGTCACCATACCTTGGCATGGGGGTGTCACCATACCTTGGTGTGCGGGTGCAGCAGGCAGCGCAGCAGCGGCAGCACGGCCCCAGCAGCCAGCACGGAAAGCACGCCCTCCGGCAGCATGTGGGCGTCACCATACCTTGGCATGGGGGTGTCACCATACCTTGGCATGGGGGTGTCACCATACCTTGGCATGGGGGTGTCACCATACCTTGGCATGGGGGTGTCACCATACCTTGGTGTGCGGGTGCAGCAGGCAGCGCAGCAGCGGCAGCACGGCCCCAGCAGCCAGCACGGAAAGCACGCCCTCCGGCAGCATGTGGGCGTCACCATACCTTGGCATGGGGGTGTCACCATACCTTGGCATGGGGGTGTCACCATACCTTGGCATGGGGGTGTCACCATACCTTGGCATGGGGGTGTCACCATACCTTGGTGTGCGGGTGCAGCAGGCAGCGCAGCAGCGGCAGCACGGCCCCAGCAGCCAGCACGGAAAGCACGCCCTCCGGCAGCATGTGGGCGTCACCATACCTTGGCATGGGGGTGTCACCATACCTTGGCATGGGGGTGTCACCATACCTTGGCATGGGGGTGTCACCATACCTTGGCATGGGGGTGTCACCATACCTTGGCATGGGGGTGTCACCATACCTTGGCATGGGGGTGTCACCATACCTTGGCATGGGGGTGTCACCATACCTTGGCATGGGGGTGTCACCATACCTTGGCATGGGGGTGTCACCATACCTTGGCATGGGGGTGTCACCATACCTTGGCATGGGGGTGTCACCATACCTTGGCATGGGGGTGTCACCATACCTTGGCATGGGGGTGTCACCATACCTTGGCATGGGGGTGTCACCATACCTTGGCATGGGGGCGTCACCATACCTTGGCATGGGGGTGTCACCATACCTTGGCATGGGGGTGTCACCATACCTTGGCATGGGGGTGTCACCATACCTTGGTGTGCGGGTGCAGCAGGCAGCGCAGCAGCGGCAGCACGGCCCCAGCAGCCAGCACGGAAAGCACGCCCTCCGGCAGCATGTGGGCGTCACCATACCTTGGCATGGGGGTGTCACCATACCTTGGCATGGGGGTGTCACCATACCTTGGCATGGGGGTGTCACCATACCTTGGCATGGGGGTGTCACCATACCTTGGTGTGCGGGTGCAGCAGGCAGCGCAGCAGCGGCAGCACGGCCCCAGCAGCCAGCACGGAAAGCACGCCCTCCGGCAGCATGTGGGCGTCACCATACCTTGGCATGGGGGTGTCACCATACCTTGGCATGGGGGTGTCACCATACCTTGGCATGGGGGTGTCACCATACCTTGGCATGGGGGTGTCACCATACCTTGGTGTGCGGGTGCAGCAGGCAGCGCAGCAGCGGCAGCACGGCCCCAGCAGCCAGCACGGAAAGCACGCCCTCCGGCAGCATGTGGGCGTCACCATACCTTGGCATGGGGGTGTCACCATACCTTGGCATGGGGGTGTCACCATACCTTGGCATGGGGGTGTCACCATACCTTGGTGTGCGGGTGCAGCAGGCAGCGCAGCAGCGGCAGCACGGCCCCAGCAGCCAGCACGGAAAGCACGCCCTCCGGCAGCATGTGGGCGTCACCATACCTTGGCATGGGGGTGTCACCATACCTTGGCATGGGGGTGTCACCATACCTTGGCATGGGGGTGTCACCATACCTTGGCATGGGGGTGTCACCATACCTTGGTGTGCGGGTGCAGCAGGCAGCGCAGCAGCGGCAGCACGGCCCCAGCAGCCAGCCGGAAAGCACGCCCTCCGGCAGCATGTGGGCGTCACCATACCTTGGCATGGGGGTGTCACCATACCTTGGCATGGGGGTGTCACCATACCTTGGCATGGGGGTGTCACCATACCTTGGCATGGGGGTGTCACCATACCTTGGTGTGCGGGTGCAGCAGGCAGCGCAGCAGCGGCAGCACGGCCCCAGCAGCCAGCACGGAAAGCACGCCCTCCGGCAGCATGTGGGCGTCACCATACCTTGGCATGGGGGTGTCACCATACCTTGGCATGGGGGTGTCACCATACCTTGGCATGGGGGTGTCACCATACCTTGGCATGGGGGTGTCACCATACCTTGGTGTGCGGGTGCAGCAGGCAGCGCAGCAGCGGCAGCACGGCCCCAGCAGCCAGCACGGAAAGCACGCCCTCCGGCAGCATGTGGGCGTCACCATACCTTGGCATGGGGGTGTCACCATACCTTGGCATGGGGGTGTGACCATACCTTGGCATGGGGGTGTCACCATACCTTGGCATGGGGGTGTCACCATACCTTGGCATGGGGGTGTCACCATACCTTGGCATGGGGGTGTCACCATACCTTGGCATGGGGGTGTCACCATACCTTGGCATGGGGGTGTCACCATACCTTGGCATGGGGGTGTCACCATACCTTGGCATGGGGGTGTCACCATACCTTGGCATGGGGGTGTCACCATACCTTGGCATGGGGGTGTCACCATACCTTGGCATGGGGGTGTCACCATACCTTGGCATGGGGGTGTCACCATACCTTGGCATGGGGGTGTCACCATACCTTGGCATGGGGGTGTCACCATACCTTGGTGTGCGGGTGCAGCAGGCAGCGCAGCAGCGGCAGCACGGCCCCAGCAGCCAGCACGGAAAGCACGCCCTCCGGCAGCATGTGGGCGTCACCATACCTTGGCATGGGGGTGTCACCATACCTTGGCATGGGGGTGTCACCATACCTTGGCATGGGGGTGTCACCATACCTTGGCATGGGGGTGTCACCATACCTTGGCATGGGGGTGTCACCATACCTTGGCATGGGGGTGTCACCATACCTTGGCATGGGGGTGTCACCATACCTTGGCATGGGGGTGTCACCATACCTTGGCATGGGGGTGTCACCATACCTTGGCATGGGGGTGTCACCATACCTTGGTGTGCGGGTGCAGCAGGCAGCGCAGCAGCGGCAGCACGGCCCCAGCAGCCAGCACGGAAAGCACGCCCTCCGGCAGCATGTGGGCGTCACCATACCTTGGCATGGGGGTGTCACCATACCTTGGCATGGGGGTGTCACCATACCTTGGCATGGGGGTGTCACCATACCTTGGCATGGGGGTGTCACCATACCTTGGCATGGGGGTGTCACCATACCTTGGCATGGGGGTGTCACCATACCTTGGCATGGGGGTGTCACCATACCTTGGCATGGGGGTGTCACCATACCTTGGCATGGGGGTGTCACCATACCTTGGCATGGGGGTGTCACCATACCTTGGCATGGGGGTGTCACCATACCTTGGCATGGGGGTGTCACCATACCTTGGTGTGCGGGTGCAGCAGGCAGCGCAGCAGCGGCAGCACGGCCCCAGCAGCCAGCACGGAAAGCACGCCCTCCGGCAGCATGTGGGCGTCACCATACCTTGGCATGGGGGTGTCACCATACCTTGGCATGGGGGTGTCACCATACCTTGGCATGGGGGTGTCACCATACCTTGGCATGGGGGTGTCACCATACCTTGGCATGGGGGTGTCACCATACCTTGGCATGGGGGTGTCACCATACCTTGGCATGGGGGTGTCACCATACCTTGGCATGGGGGTGTCACCATACCTTGGCATGGGGGTGTCACCATACCTTGGCATGGGGGTGTCACCATACCTTGGCATGGGGGTGTCACCATACCTTGGTGTGCGGGTGCAGCAGGCAGCGCAGCAGCGGCAGCACGGCCCCAGCAGCCAGCACGGAAAGCACGCCCTCCGGCAGCATGTGGGCGTCACCATACCTTGGCATGGGGGTGTCACCATACCTTGGCATGGGGGTGTCACCATACCTTGGCATGGGGGTGTCACCATACCTTGGCATGGGGATGTCACCATACCTTGGCATGGGGGTGTCACCATACCTTGGCATGGGGGTGTCACCATACCTTGGCATGGGGGTGTCACCATACCTTGGCATGGGGGTGTCACCATACCTTGGTGTGCGGGTGCAGCAGGCAGCGCAGCAGCGGCAGCACGGCCCCAGCAGCCAGCACGGAAAGCACGCCCTCCGGCAGCATGTGGGCGTCACCATACCTTGGCATGGGGGTGTCACCATACCTTGGCATGGGGGTGTCACCATACCTTGGCATGGGGGTGTCACCATACCTTGGCATGGGGGTGTCACCATACCTTGGCATGGGGGTGTCACCATACCTTGGCATGGGGGTGTCACCATACCTTGGCATGGGGGTGTCACCATACCTTGGCATGGGGGTGTCACCATACCTTGGTGTGCGGGTGCAGCAGGCAGCGCAGCAGCGGCAGCACGGCCCCAGCAGCCAGCACGGAAAGCACGCCCTCCGGCAGCATGTGGGCGTCACCATACCTTGGCATGAGGGTGTCACCATACCTTGGCATGGGGGTGTCACCATACCTTGGCATGGGGGTGTCACCATACCTTGGCATGGGGGTGTCACCATACCTTGGCATGGGGGTGTCACCATACCTTGGCATGGGGGTGTCACCATACCTTGGCATGGGGGTGTCACCATACCTTGGCATGGGGGTGTCACCATACCTTGGTGTGCGGGTGCAGCAGGCAGCGCAGCAGCGGCAGCACGGCCCCAGCAGCCAGCACGGAAAGCACGCCCTCCGGCAGCATGTGGGCGTCACCATACCTTGGCATGGGGGTGTCACCATACCTTGGCATGGGGGTGTCACCATACCTTGGTGTGCGGGTGCAGCAGGCAGCGCAGCAGCGGCAGCACGGCCCCAGCAGCCAGCACGGAAAGCACGCCCTCCGGCAGCATGTGGGCGTCACCATACCTTGGCATGGGGGTGTCACCATACCTTGGCATGGGGGTGTCACCATACCTTGGTGTGCGGGTGCAGCAGGCAGCGCAGCAGCGGCAGCACGGCCCCAGAAGCCAGCACGGAAAGCACGCCCTCCGGCAGCATGTGGGCGTCACCATACCTTGGCATGGGGGTGTCACCATACCTTGGCATGGGGGTGTCACCATACCTTGGTGTGCGGGTGCAGCAGGCAGCGCAGCAGCGGCAGCACGGCCCCAGCAGCCAGCACGGAAAGCACGCCCTCCGGCAGCATGTGGGCGTCACCATACCTTGGCATGGGGGTGTCACCATACCTTGGCATGGGGGTGTCACCATACCTTGGTGTGCGGGTGCAGCAGGCAGCGCAGCAGCGGCAGCACGGCCCCAGCAGCCAGCACGGAAAGCACGCCCTCCGGCAGCATGTGGGCGTCACCATACCTTGGCATGGGGGTGTCACCATACCTTGGCATGGGGGTGTCACCATACCTTGGCATGGGGGTGTCACCATACCTTGGCATGGGGGTGTCACCATACCTTGGTGTGCGGGTGCAGCAGGCAGCGCAGCAGCGGCAGCACGGCCCCAGCAGCCAGCACGGAAAGCACGCCCTCCGGCAGCATGTGGGCGTCACCATACCTTGGCATGGGGGTGTCACCATACCTTGGCATGGGGGTGTCACCATACCTTGGTGTGCGGGTGCAGCAGGCAGCGCAGCAGCGGCAGCACGGCCCCAGCAGCCAGCACGGAAAGCACGCCCTCCGGCAGCATGTGGGCGTCACCATACCTTGGCATGGGGGTGTCACCATACCTTGGCATGGGGGTGTCACCATACCTTGGTGTGCGGGTGCAGCAGGCAGCGCAGCAGCGGCAGCACGGCCCCAGCAGCCAGCACGGAAAGCACGCCCTCCGGCAGCATGTGGGCGTCACCATACCTTGGCATGGGGGTGTCACCATACCTTGGCATGGGGGTGTCACCATACCTTGGTGTGCGGGTGCAGCAGGCAGCGCAGCAGCGGCAGCACGGCCCCAGCAGCCAGCACGGAAAGCACGCCCTCCGGCAGCATGTGGGCGTCACCATACCTTGGCATGGGGGTGTCACCATACCTTGGCATGGGGGTGTCACCATACCTTGGTGTGCGGGTGCAGCAGGCAGCGCAGCAGCGGCAGCACGGCCCCAGCAGCCAGCACGGAAAGCACGCCCTCCGGCAGCATGTGGGCGTCACCATACCTTGGCATGGGGGTGTCACCATACCTTGGCATGGGGGTGTCACCATACCTTGGTGTGCGGGTGCAGCAGGCAGCGCAGCAGCGGCAGCACGGCCCCAGCAGCCAGCACGGAAAGCACGCCCTCCGGCAGCATGTGGGCGTCACCATACCTTGGCATGGGGGTGTCACCATACCTTGGCATGGGGGTGTCACCATACCTTGGTGTGCGGGTGCAGCAGGCAGCGCAGCAGCGGCAGCACGGCCCCAGCAGCCAGCACGGAAAGCACGCCCTCCGGCAGCATGTGGGCGTCACCATACCTTGGCATGGGGGTGTCACCATACCTTGGCATGGGGGTGTCACCATACCTTGGTGTGCGGGTGCAGCAGGCAGCGCAGCAGCGGCAGCACGGCCCCAGCAGCCAGCACGGAAAGCACGCCCTCCGGCAGCATGTGGGCGTCACCATACCTTGGCATGGGGGTGTCACCATACCTTGGCATGGGGGTGTCACCATACCTTGGTGTGCGGGTGCAGCAGGCAGCGCAGCAGCGGCAGCACGGCCCCAGCAGCCAGCACGGAAAGCACGCCCTCCGGCAGCATGTGGGCGTCACCATACCTTGGCATGGGGGTGTCACCATACCTTGGCATGGGGGTGTCACCATACCTTGGTGTGCGGGTGCAGCAGGCAGCGCAGCAGCGGCAGCACGGCCCCAGCAGCCAGCACGGAAAGCACGCCCTCCGGCAGCATGTGGGCGTCACCATACCTTGGCATGGGGGTGTCACCATACCTTGGCATGGGGGTGTCACCATACCTTGGTGTGCGGGTGCAGCAGGCAGCGCAGCAGCGGCAGCACGGCCCCAGCAGCCAGCACGGAAAGCACGCCCTCCGGCAGCATGTGGGCGTCACCATACCTTGGCATGGGGGTGTCACCATACCTTGGCATGGGGGTGTCACCATACCTTGGTGTGCGGGTGCAGCAGGCAGCGCAGCAGCGGCAGCACGGCCCCAGCAGCCAGCACGGAAAGCACGCCCTCCGGCAGCATGTGGGCGTCACCATACCTTGGCATGGGGGTGTCACCATACCTTGGCATGGGGGTGTCACCATACCTTGGTGTGCGGGTGCAGCAGGCAGCGCAGCAGCGGCAGCACGGCCCCAGCAGCCAGCACGGAAAGCACGCCCTCCGGCAGCATGTGGGCGTCACCATACCTTGGCATGGGGGTGTCACCATACCTTGGCATGGGGGTGTCACCATACCTTGGTGTGCGGGTGCAGCAGGCAGCGCAGCAGCGGCAGCACGGCCCCAGCAGCCAGCACGGAAAGCACGCCCTCCGGCAGCATGTGGGCGTCACCATACCTTGGCATGGGGGTGTCACCATACCTTGGCATGGGGGTGTCACCATACCTTGGTGTGCGGGTGCAGCAGGCAGCGCAGCAGCGGCAGCACGGCCCCAGCAGCCAGCACGGAAAGCACGCCCTCCGGCAGCATGTGGGCGTCACCATACCTTGGCATGGGGGTGTCACCATACCTTGGCATGGGGGTGTCACCATACCTTGGTGTGCGGGTGCAGCAGGCAGCGCAGCAGCGGCAGCACGGCCCCAGCAGCCAGCACGGAAAGCACGCCCTCCGGCAGCATGTGGGCGTCACCATACCTTGGCATGGGGGTGTCACCATACCTTGGCATGGGGGTGTCACCATACCTTGGTGTGCGGGTGCAGCAGGCAGCGCAGCAGCGGCAGCACGGCCCCAGCAGCCAGCACGGAAAGCACGCCCTCCGGCAGCATGTGGGCGTCACCATACCTTGGCATGGGGGTGTCACCATACCTTGGCATGGGGGTGTCACCATACCTTGGTGTGCGGGTGCAGCAGGCAGCGCAGCAGCGGCAGCACGGCCCCAGCAGCCAGCACGGAAAGCACGCCCTCCGGCAGCATGTGGGCGTCACCATACCTTGGCATGGGGGTGTCACCATACCTTGGCATGGGGGTGTCACCATACCTTGGTGTGCGGGTGCAGCAGGCAGCGCAGCAGCGGCAGCACGGCCCCAGCAGCCAGCACGGAAAGCACGCCCTCCGGCAGCATGTGGGCGTCACCATACCTTGGCATGGGGGTGTCACCATACCTTGGCATGGGGGTGTCACCATACCTTGGTGTGCGGGTGCAGCAGGCAGCGCAGCAGCGGCAGCACGGCCCCAGCAGCCAGCACGGAAAGCACGCCCTCCGGCAGCATGTGGGCGTCACCATACCTTGGCATGGGGGTGTCACCATACCTTGGCATGGGGGTGTCACCATACCTTGGTGTGCGGGTGCAGCAGGCAGCGCAGCAGCGGCAGCACGGCCCCAGCAGCCAGCACGGAAAGCACGCCCTCCGGCAGCATGTGGGCGTCACCATACCTTGGCATGGGGGTGTCACCATACCTTGGCATGGGGGTGTCACCATACCTTGGTGTGCGGGTGCAGCAGGCAGCGCAGCAGCGGCAGCACGGCCCCAGCAGCCCGCACGGAAAGCACGCCCTCCGGCAGCATGTGGGCGTCACCATACCTTGGCATGGGGGTGTCACCATACCTTGGCATGGGGGTGTCACCATACCTTGGTGTGCGGGTGCAGCAGGCAGCGCAGCAGCGGCAGCACGGCCCCAGCAGCCAGCACGGAAAGCACGCCCTCCGGCAGCATGTGGGCGTCACCATACCTTGGCATGGGGGTGTCACCATACCTTGGCATGGGGGTGTCACCATACCTTGGTGTGCGGGTGCAGCAGGCAGCGCAGCAGCGGCAGCACGGCCCCAGCAGCCAGCACGGAAAGCACGCCCTCCGGCAGCATGTGGGCGTCACCATACCTTGGCATGGGGGTGTCACCATACCTTGGCATGGGGGTGTCACCATACCTTGGTGTGCGGGTGCAGCAGGCAGCGCAGCAGCGGCAGCACGGCCCCAGCAGCCAGCACGGAAAGCACGCCCTCCGGCAGCATGTGGGCGTCACCATACCTTGGCATGGGGGTGTCACCATACCTTGGCATGGGGGTGTCACCATACCTTGGTGTGCGGGTGCAGCAGGCAGCGCAGCAGCGGCAGCACGGCCCCAGCAGCCAGCACGGAAAGCACGCCCTCCGGCAGCATGTGGGCGTCACCATACCTTGGCATGGGGGTGTCACCATACCTTGGCATGGGGGTGTCACCATACCTTGGTGTGCGGGTGCAGCAGGCAGCGCAGCAGCGGCAGCACGGCCCCAGCAGCCAGCACGGAAAGCACGCCCTCCGGCAGCATGTGGGCGTCACCATACCTTGGCATGGGGGTGTCACCATACCTTGGCATGGGGGTGTCACCATACCTTGGTGTGCGGGTGCAGCAGGCAGCGCAGCAGCGGCAGCACGGCCCCAGCAGCCAGCACGGAAAGCACGCCCTCCGGCAGCATGTGGGCGTCACCATACCTTGGCATGGGGGTGTCACCATACCTTGGCATGGGGGTGTCACCATACCTTGGTGTGCGGGTGCAGCAGGCAGCGCAGCAGCGGCAGCACGGCCCCAGCAGCCAGCACGGAAAGCACGCCCTCCGGCAGCATGTGGGCGTCACCATACCTTGGCATGGGGGTGTCACCATACCTTGGCATGGGGGTGTCACCATACCTTGGCATGGGGGTGTCACCATACCTTGGCATGGGGGTGTCACCATACCTTGGCATGGGGGTGTCACCATACCTTGGCATGGGGGTGTCACCATACCTTGGCATGGGGGTGTCACCATACCTTGGCATGGGGGTGTCACCATACCTTGGCATGGGGGTGTCACCATACCTTGGTGTGCGGGTGCAGCAGGCAGCGCAGCAGCGGCAGCACGGCCCCAGCAGCCAGCACGGAAAGCACGCCCTCCGGCAGCATGTGGGCGTCACCATACCTTGGCATGGGGGTGTCACCATACCTTGGCATGGGGGTGTCACCATACCTTGGCATGGGGGTGTCACCATACCTTGGCATGGGGGTGTCACCATACCTTGGCATGGGGGTGTCACCATACCTTGGCATGGGGGTGTCACCATACCTTGGCATGGGGGTGTCACCATACCTTGGCATGGGGGTGTCACCATACCTTGGCATGGGGGTGTCACCATACCTTGGCATGGGGGTGTCACCATACCTTGGCATGGGGGTGTCACCATACCTTGGTGTGCGGGTGCAGCAGGCAGCGCAGCAGCGGCAGCACGGCCCCAGCAGCCAGCACGGAAAGCACGCCCTCCGGCAGCATGTGGGCGTCACCATACCTTGGCATGGGGGTGTCACCATACCTTGGCATGGGGGTGTCACCATACCTTGGCATGGGGGTGTCACCATACCTTGGCATGGGGGTGTCACCATACCTTGGTGTGCGGGTGCAGCAGGCAGCGCAGCAGCGGCAGCACGGCCCCAGCAGCCAGCACGGAAAGCACGCCCTCCGGCAGCATGTGGGCGTCACCATACCTTGGCATGGGGGTGTCACCATACCTTGGCATGGGGGTGTCACCATACCTTGGCATGGGGGTGTCACCATACCTTGGCATGGGGGTGTCACCATACCTTGGCATGGGGGTGTCACCATACCTTGGCATGGGGGTGTCACCATACCTTGGCATGGGGGTGTCACCATACCTTGGCATGGGGGTGTCACCATACCTTGGTGTGCGGGTGCAGCAGGCAGCGCAGCAGCGGCAGCACGGCCCCAGCAGCCAGCACGGAAAGCACGCCCTCCGGCAGCATGTGGGCGTCACCATACCTTGGCATGGGGGTGTCACCATACCTTGGCATGGGGGTGTCACCATACCTTGGTGTGCGGGTGCAGCAGGCAGCGCAGCAGCGGCAGCACGGCCCCAGCAGCCAGCACGGAAAGCACGCCCTCCGGCAGCATGTGGGCGTCACCATACCTTGGCATGGGGGTGTCACCATACCTTGGCATGGGGGTGTCACCATACCTTGGTGTGCGGGTGCAGCAGGCAGCGCAGCAGCGGCAGCACGGCCCCAGCAGCCAGCACGGAAAGCACGCCCTCCGGCAGCATGTGGGCGTCACCATACCTTGGCATGGGGGTGTCACCATACCTTGGCATGGGGGTGTCACCATACCTTGGTGTGCGGGTGCAGCAGGCAGCGCAGCAGCGGCAGCACGGCCCCAGCAGCCAGCACGGAAAGCACGCCCTCCGGCAGCATGTGGGCGTCACCATACCTTGGCATGGGGGTGTCACCATACCTTGGCATGGGGGTGTCACCATACCTTGGTGTGCGGGTGCAGCAGGCAGCGCAGCAGCGGCAGCACGGCCCCAGCAGCCAGCACGGAAAGCACGCCCTCCGGCAGCATGTGGGCGTCACCATACCTTGGCATGGGGGTGTCACCATACCTTGGCATGGGGGTGTCACCATACCTTGGTGTGCGGGTGCAGCAGGCAGCGCAGCAGCGGCAGCACGGCCCCAGCAGCCAGCACGGAAAGCACGCCCTCCGGCAGCATGTGGGCGTCACCATACCTTGGCATGGGGGTGTCACCATACCTTGGCATGGGGGTGTCACCATACCTTGGTGTGCGGGTGCAGCAGGCAGCGCAGCAGCGGCAGCACGGCCCCAGCAGCCAGCACGGAAAGCACGCCCTCCGGCAGCATGTGGGCGTCACCATACCTTGGCATGGGGGTGTCACCATACCTTGGCATGGGGGTGTCACCATACCTTGGTGTGCGGGTGCAGCAGGCAGCGCAGCAGCGGCAGCACGGCCCCAGCAGCCAGCACGGAAAGCACGCCCTCCGGCAGCATGTGGGCGTCACCATACCTTGGCATGGGGGTGTCACCATACCTTGGCATGGGGGTGTCACCATACCTTGGTGTGCGGGTGCAGCAGGCAGCGCAGCAGCGGCAGCACGGCCCCAGCAGCCAGCACGGAAAGCACGCCCTCCGGCAGCATGTGGGCGTCACCATACCTTGGCATGGGGGTGTCACCATACCTTGGCATGGGGGTGTCACCATACCTTGGTGTGCGGGTGCAGCAGGCAGCGCAGCAGCGGCAGCACGGCCCCAGCAGCCAGCACGGAAAGCACGCCCTCCGGCAGCATGTGGGCGTCACCATACCTTGGCATGGGGGTGTCACCATACCTTGGCATGGGGGTGTCACCATACCTTGGTGTGCGGGTGCAGCAGGCAGCGCAGCAGCGGCAGCACGGCCCCAGCAGCCAGCACGGAAAGCACGCCCTCCGGCAGCATGTGGGCGTCACCATACCTTGGCATGGGGGTGTCACCATACCTTGGCATGGGGGTGTCACCATACCTTGGTGTGCGGGTGCAGCAGGCAGCGCAGCAGCGGCAGCACGGCCCCAGCAGCCAGCACGGAAAGCACGCCCTCCGGCAGCATGTGGGCGTCACCATACCTTGGCATGGGGGTGTCACCATACCTTGGCATGGGGGTGTCACCATACCTTGGTGTGCGGGTGCAGCAGGCAGCGCAGCAGCGGCAGCACGGCCCCAGCAGCCAGCACGGAAAGCACGCCCTCCGGCAGCATGTGGGCGTCACCATACCTTGGCATGGGGGTGTCACCATACCTTGGCATGGGGGTGTCACCATACCTTGGTGTGCGGGTGCAGCAGGCAGCGCAGCAGCGGCAGCACGGCCCCAGCAGCCAGCACGGAAAGCACGCCCTCCGGCAGCATGTGGGCGTCACCATACCTTGGCATGGGGGTGTCACCATACCTTGGCATGGGGGTGTCACCATACCTTGGTGTGCGGGTGCAGCAGGCAGCGCAGCAGCGGCAGCACGGCCCCAGCAGCCAGCACGGAAAGCACGCCCTCCGGCAGCATGTGGGCGTCACCATACCTTGGCATGGGGGTGTCACCATACCTTGGCATGGGGGTGTCACCATACCTTGGTGTGCGGGTGCAGCAGGCAGCGCAGCAGCGGCAGCACGGCCCCAGCAGCCAGCACGGAAAGCACGCCCTCCGGCAGCATGTGGGCGTCACCATACCTTGGCATGGGGGTGTCACCATACCTTGGCATGGGGGTGTCACCATACCTTGGTGTGCGGGTGCAGCAGGCAGCGCAGCAGCGGCAGCACGGCCCCAGCAGCCAGCACGGAAAGCACGCCCTCCGGCAGCATGTGGGCGTCACCATACCTTGGCATGGGGGTGTCACCATACCTTGGCATGGGGGTGTCACCATACCTTGGTGTGCGGGTGCAGCAGGCAGCGCAGCAGCGGCAGCACGGCCCCAGCAGCCAGCACGGAAAGCACGCCCTCCGGCAGCATGTGGGCGTCACCATACCTTGGCATGGGGGTGTCACCATACCTTGGCATGGGGGTGTCACCATACCTTGGTGTGCGGGTGCAGCAGGCAGCGCAGCAGCGGCAGCACGGCCCCAGCAGCCAGCACGGAAAGCACGCCCTCCGGCAGCATGTGGGCGTCACCATACCTTGGCATGGGGGTGTCACCATACCTTGGCATGGGGGTGTCACCATACCTTGGTGTGCGGGTGCAGCAGGCAGCGCAGCAGCGGCAGCACGGCCCCAGCAGCCAGCACGGAAAGCACGCCCTCCGGCAGCATGTGGGCGTCACCATACCTTGGCATGGGGGTGTCACCATACCTTGGCATGGGGGTGTCACCATACCTTGGTGTGCGGGTGCAGCAGGCAGCGCAGCAGCGGCAGCACGGCCCCAGCAGCCAGCACGGAAAGCACGCCCTCCGGCAGCATGTGGGCGTCACCATACCTTGGCATGGGGGTGTCACCATACCTTGGTGTGCGGGTGCAGCAGGCAGCGCAGCAGCGGCAGCACGGCCCCAGCAGCCAGCACGGAAAGCACGCCCTCCGGCAGCATGTGGGCGTCACCATACCTTGGCATGGGGGTGTCACCATACCTTGGTGTGCGGGTGCAGCAGGCAGCGCAGCAGCGGCAGCACGGCCCCAGCAGCCAGCACGGAAAGCACGCCCTCCGGCAGCATGTGGGCGTCACCATACCTTGGCATGGGGGTGTCACCATACCTTGGTGTGCGGGTGCAGCAGGCAGCGCAGCAGCGGCAGCACGGCCCCAGCAGCCAGCACGGAAAGCACGCCCTCCGGCAGCATGTGGGCGTCACCATACCTTGGCATGGGGGTGTCACCATACCTTGGTGTGCGGGTGCAGCAGGCAGCGCAGCAGCGGCAGCACGGCCCCAGCAGCCAGCACGGAAAGCACGCCCTCCGGCAGCATGTGGGCGTCACCATACCTTGGCATGGGGGTGTCACCATACCTTGGTGTGCGGGTGCAGCAGGCAGCGCAGCAGCGGCAGCACGGCCCCAGCAGCCAGCACGGAAAGCACGCCCTCCGGCAGCATGTGGGCGTCACCATACCTTGGCATGGGGGTGTCACCATACCTTGGTGTGCGGGTGCAGCAGGCAGCGCAGCAGCGGCAGCACGGCCCCAGCAGCCAGCACGGAAAGCACGCCCTCCGGCAGCATGTGGGCGTCACCATACCTTGGCATGGGGGTGTCACCATACCTTGGTGTGCGGGTGCAGCAGGCAGCGCAGCAGCGGCAGCACGGCCCCAGCAGCCAGCACGGAAAGCACGCCCTCCGGCAGCATGTGGGCGTCACCATACCTTGGCATGGGGGTGTCACCATACCTTGGTGTGCGGGTGCAGCAGGCAGCGCAGCAGCGGCAGCACGGCCCCAGCAGCCAGCACGGAAAGCACGCCCTCCGGCAGCATGTGGGCGTCACCATACCTTGGCATGGGGGTGTCACCATACCTTGGTGTGCGGGTGCAGCAGGCAGCGCAGCAGCGGCAGCACGGCCCCAGCAGCCAGCACGGAAAGCACGCCCTCCGGCAGCATGTGGGCGTCACCATACCTTGGCATGGGGGTGTCACCATACCTTGGTGTGCGGGTGCAGCAGGCAGCGCAGCAGCGGCAGCACGGCCCCAGCAGCCAGCACGGAAAGCACGCCCTCCGGCAGCATGTGGGCGTCACCATACCTTGGCATGGGGGTGTCACCATACCTTGGTGTGCGGGTGCAGCAGGCAGCGCAGCAGCGGCAGCACGGCCCCAGCAGCCAGCACGGAAAGCACGCCCTCCGGCAGCATGTGGGCGTCACCATACCTTGGCATGGGGGTGTCACCATACCTTGGTGTGCGGGTGCAGCAGGCAGCGCAGCAGCGGCAGCACGGCCCCAGCAGCCAGCACGGAAAGCACGCCCTCCGGCAGCATGTGGGCGTCACCATACCTTGGCATGGGGGTGTCACCATACCTTGGTGTGCGGGTGCAGCAGGCAGCGCAGCAGCGGCAGCACGGCCCCAGCAGCCAGCACGGAAAGCACGCCCTCCGGCAGCATGTGGGCGTCACCATACCTTGGCATGGGGGTGTCACCATACCTTGGTGTGCGGGTGCAGCAGGCAGCGCAGCAGCGGCAGCACGGCCCCAGCAGCCAGCACGGAAAGCACGCCCTCCGGCAGCCCACATGCCAAACTGCCCACCGCTGCCGCCGCCTGCTGCACCTCCTCCGCTCCCCACGCCCCCTCCGCCCCCTGTTCGCCCTCCGCCCCCTCCGTTCCCTCCGCCCCTTCCATTCCGTCCGCTCCCTCTAGCATGGCCACCAGCCTGATAGGCACACGCACGGCACAGATGGGCATGGCAGGTAAACAGACACGCAGGCAGGTTTGAGGGCAGGCAGGCAGGTAGGAAGGTAGGCAGGAGGAAGGTACGAGGGCAGGTGAACAAGCAGGCAAGCAAGCAGCCAGGAAGAGCAAGGCCAGCATAGCAAATGGGGGTCAAGGAGAAACGGACAGAAGGCATGGTGGACCCGCAAGGAAGGGACCCACTTCCCAGAGACCGGTACCACTGCCAAGACACCCAAACCACTCCCCACCGCACTGAATCAAACCACTCCCCACCGCACTGAATCAAACCACTCCCCAAACCACTCTCCCCCATCCAGTGCCCCCTCAGAGAATCCGATGGAGAGAGAACGGAGATGCGGGAAGCAGCAGGGCGCGGAAACAGTAGATCGCGGAAGCAGCAGGGCGCGGAAACAGTAGAGCGCGGAAGCAGCAGGGCGCGGAAACAGTAAAGCGTGGAAGCAGCACAGCGCGGAAACAGAAGGGCGCGGAAACAGAAGGGCGCGGAAACAGAAGGGCGCGCGGCGGGGCGGTGGTACGAAGAAAGGCCGCATGCAGCGCGCAGCCGTGGTTTTGGGGGAGCGAGGGGGCAGGGAAGGAGGCGCGGGAAAGAGGGCGGCGCGACGCGCGGAGGAGTGGGGTTCGCGGAGGAGGGAGGCGCGCCGGGAAGAGCGACGCACCTGGGCACGGCTCGCAGGCGGATGAAAGCGAGCTTGCGCGTGCGGCTGCCGATGGCGGCGTTCTTCACGTCGCGCACCGCGCGCAGCCGCACCTTCGCGTCGCCCGCCGCCAGCCCCGCCACCAGCTCCTCCGCCCGCCCCGCCCGCCGCCACGCGTCGCCAGGACGGGTCGCCGATGCCGCTGGCATCGCGGCGAGAAGCGGAATAACGAGCTCTTTCTGTTTGGAGAGTCCGAACAACCTGCGGTGTATCTAATGAAAGGCTCAGCGCATTTCAAGAGCTGTTATGCTAGCGGCAGCTGAGGTTGCGCGACAGCCGTTCGTCTGCCTGTGCATCCTTGGTTTGGAATCGCGATTGGGCGGTCGCTTGGCTGAAATCTCCAACACAGCAAGAAGTGTTTCCGTTTAGAAGTGGTGCTGACCAAAAATAGGGATCGAGGTGTAGAAACGAGAGAACTAGTATTGCACTAACGGGAAAATCAAGGGCGTGATTATTTGGGATTTTTTTGGAATACCTAACGGTTAACACTGGTTTACTTGGTCAACGCTATGTTGCAGTGAGGTTTAGTGCGTTTCAGAGCGGTGACAGTCCAAACCGAACCACCTTTTCCAGGATGTTCCACGCCCAAACTCAGCGCGTAAGAAGGCATGACTGGACATTTGGGCAAGTGCTACGAGTGCAATTGAGTGACGGGACACGGATTACACCTGTCGAAATTCATGTTATTTGGGGTGCTCGTTGCGTGCCTGACCATTTGCAAGTTATTGGTGGCTGAACGCATGGAAACACCCTTATAAAGGAACGTTTAAGTTTCGTTTTGTTATTAGGGCCTCATTTTACCTCATATTTTTCCTTTCTATTCTGAGTAGTTTTCTCCAAAATTGTAACCAGTATTCGACTTATAGCTTGGTCCCATGTGGGTGAATGTACAGTACATCGAATTAGTCTGAAAGCTGTTCTGTTTCTGCGCCCTGTTTTGAGCTTCAATTGGCGAGGCGAGTAGCCCTGGCCCAGAAGCGACAGTGCTGTGCAACTGGAATGAATTTTCACTAACCGTTCTTGACCAACTGGAAACCCAGTTGTGACCTCGGCTAGAGGTCTTGATATCCCTTTCTTAATTTTTAACCCTTCTTTTTCTCTCCGCATATTTTTACAGAAGCCTCCTGTGGGATTCGCGCAAATGAAGTGAAGTAGCTTGGTGGCCTTGTGAAACCTCCAGGGAAGTGGCCAACGGTGCCTTGAAAAGAACTTTGAACTGGTCGACCAGCCCTTTCACAAAACAAAATTTCGCCCTTCCCACTCAAGGACACCGCCAGGTCAATCCCTTGACTCGTCCCATGCAGGAATTGCATGACTTTTTGTCAGCGACCGAGAAGTCAACCCAGACCGAGCTGACGTCTTTATAAAGAAGGATTGCATAAAGAAGTGTCGCGGGAGCAGCATCGTGGCTGCCGGTATTATTCGCCGCGGTGCTTCTGGGAGCACCCTCTCAGACTGAAGCACAGCATCCTGACGAATACGCACCGCACGGTCCCCTGACACAGCCCCGCGGATGCTACAAGAGATGCAACAGGTTAAAAATGGGTTACTCTATTGCAGGCCCTCAGATTGCAGGAATTTTACCCTGATTTGGGCTTTGAACACTGATTTTCAGGGTTTTTTTGGACCCAGCACTGATGAGAAAGTTTTTTTTTTAATGCCTATCCTCATTTTCAAGCGTGTTTTTTCGTACCAGGTCTGATTTTCCAGCGTGTTTTTGCTTGGGGACCCTGAATCGATTCATACAGTAGAGGGTACAGGTGTAGTTGCGAAAATGCCTAGATTCAGTTGATCCGGAAAAAAAAAATTCCCGCCATTCCGCCGTCACCGTCAATAACGGGAAATTGTATCTTTACTGTATCCACACACGTACCAGTCTTGATGTGTTGTCGCCATCATCTCTCAGGCTTGCATGTGGTTGGGCAGTTTCAGGTAATTACACACCGTGCCCAATCAGTGCTGGCAAGATTCCACTGCGTCACGGTCGAAACTCGTGACGCTGTGGAATCGTGCTGGAAACGGGGCACATACATCCCATTTCGTGGATGGCCCATAGGGGACCATCCACGCATGCATGGAGGCTTTTGTTTGAGGGTGTCAACCAATCACCAACGAGGTGTGGTGACCCTCCCTTCCCCATCCCTTTCACCCCATTCTTAAGCGCCGTGTTAGATTAGGTGAGCTTCGATCTCCCTGCTGTTTCTCGGCTGACTCTCCACTCCTCCCTCCATCTCTCGTCCATACTCCCGCCATGGCTGGACCCGTTGATGGTGCTCCTGCCGATGACGATGCTGACGACATAGAGGTCGAGATAGCACGCACGGGCCTAGACCTGTTGCTGTGTTCCCTCTCTAAACCAACCATCCCACCTTGTAGCAAGAATCCCCCCGTCACTTCAGTTACGGCTGTTCCCACCGTCACTTCCGCCCCACCTGACTCAATCGTCGCCCCAGTTATTAAGACCGCCATGCCAACCAATGTCACAGACCCAGTACCCACTACGGTACCCGCATCCGAGCCGTCAACACCAGCAGCACCGTCCCCGACTTCTCCTATGGGTACATCTCCATCGCTTCCACAAGGTTTTGAGATGGCGTCCCCGTCATCTCGGCCCGTTCCACCTGCATCGCAACCAGCTGCTCCCGAAGCGGCGTCCCCTGCAGGTCGGCCCGTTCCACCTGCATCTCACCCTCACGCAGCTGCATCGGCGTCCCCGGCTGCTCGGCTTGTCCAGACGAAGTTGAACTTCCTTCGCCCCTCATCTGCGCCACCGACAGCACCCACCAACGTGCCCACTCCGCCCGTACTCGAAGCTGCAGCCTCGAACCAGCCGTCAGTTCCTCCCGAGGAGCAGTATGCCATTGCTCTTGAAAGGTTCAAAACGCGCTGGCAAGGTCAATTTGCCTGGTTGCAGCTTGTCAAAACTTCTACTGGTCACCCTGCCTTCAAGTGTTCTTTGTGTACAGAACATTCAGGATTGACTGGCAAGACCGGCAAGTGCACCGAAGGGGCAGTCGACGTTCAAAAGCAGGCATTCACGCGTCACGCAGCCACGAACAAGCACAAGCTCGCGAAACAACGGCAGGATCAGCTCGTTGGCGCGACGAGGCAGCCGCGGATTGACGAGCATCCATTGGCGCACGACAGCGAGAAGGTCCGAGTGGTGAATCTGATGGATGCCCTACTCTTTGTCAGCAGGCAAGATGCACCAATGGATCTGTGGGTGGGATTGGTCCGTTACATGGCTGAGAAGGGAGTCCCCGGATTCCCAAAGAAGGGATACGGGACGTACTACACAACGTAAGTCCGTTTCCTTTTTTAGATTGCACCGTATTTTCTTTTGATGGCCCGGGCTAACCCACCTGATCTTGTTTGCCTGTCAGGTATGGATTCGGGGAGCTGACTCAGTCTATGGCAACGTGGCTGCAGACTACACAGCTCGAGGAGATCCTGGCAAGTCCCTACATCGGCATCTCATGCGATGAGAGCACCGATCGATGCAGAGGCAAACACCTCATCTTGTTTGTCACGTTCATTCGCAACTCACGCCTCGCCTGCGAGTTCATGGCTCTGCTGACGGTCGACAAGGCGGATGCGGCTTCGCTGTTGCAGTTGTTGCTGTCCCACCTGCAGGCGTGCGGTGTTGACCTGAGACGCATCGTGGGCATCAGCACGGACGGGGCGTCCGTGATGATGGGAGCACGGTCGGGCTTGGTTGCAAGGCTTCGGCTACGCATACCGCACCTCGTCTCTTGTCATTGTATTGCACACCGGTAAGTTAATATCCTGCTCCAGGGTTTTGACTGATCTGTTCGGTGATATTGTTCTAATACACTGTCCCTGTGTGTTTGCCGCAGGGAAGCTCTTGCCGCTAAGGATGCTGCCGAGAGCTTGCCTGTCTTCAACATGATCGACAACACGGTCCGTGCCATCGCCGAGCATCTGGGCCGGTCGGGTCCATGGCATCAGCGCTTCAAGGACCTCCAAGAGGTTTTTACCGAGACCTTTCTGGAGCTGCAAGGGATTCACACCGTACGGTGGCTATCACGTGGTGATGCCATCGCCAGGTTTGTGGCGGTCCTGCCGGCAGTCATCACGATGGTGAAGGAGTGGAATGACAAGCTGTACAAGGTGGTGACGTCGTTCCGGTTGCCGACGTGCTTGACCAGATGAACGTCCTGAGTAGGACGTTCCAGCGACGAGAGGTGCGTCCACGTAGGCTAGACTTGCATGGCCATTGTCTATGCGTTCTGTCTGTATTTTAACTGGTGTTTCTTATAAAATATGGCGCCTAATTTCTGCCACCTTGCTTCCATTCCTTCCCCCACAGCTTGATCTCTCAGCTGTGCACACGCAGATCCGCCGTACAACTGGACATCTGGAGGCCCGTTACGTCGACTGCGGGGACGAGTTTGGCGGAGGGCTCAGTCCAAGGCTCTCGCCATGGCTTGAGAAGCACGGCCCCGAAGACAAGCGGGAAGTCTGCATCGAGGGCAGCGACTCGGACGGGCAGGCATGCACCTTCACGTTCATACTACATGAGGATAAACTTGACGACTACCCCGGACCTGGGCACCAAGACGCATGCATCGACATCTGCACCGAGTTCGCTGAGCTCATCGTGGCCAACCTCCTGGATCGGTTGGGCGACCTCGACAAGCTCTTGGGCGTGGGCTTGTTCACCCCCGACAATTGGCCGCACGGCAGGCACGAGCGCCAAGCGAAGTGTCAGGAGCATCTTGAGGCGCTGATCACTCTCTTCCGGGCGGAAGAGTGCGAGGAGATCATACCTGGTGAGCCCGATGCCTTATGTGTGCATGCTGTGCCTCTCCATCCTTGTGTCATGTCGGATTTCTTATCAACCACTATGTTTCCATATCCATGCTTGGTTTTCTAACTGCAGGTGTCGACAAGAAGAAAGCAGTCAAGGAAGTGCGACTGCTAATCCCCGTCCTTTCACGTGCACCGAAGGGTGAGCGAGGATTCCACACTGGTCTTACCGCCATGTTCAAGACCGACGACTGGCAGCAGCACTACCCGAACCTGGTGCGGCTGTGGGTGGCGGTGTCGGTCCTACCGTTGAGCACAGTCGAATGCGAGCGCGGCTTCTCGCGGCAGAACGTCATTAAGTCCTGGCAGCGAGGCAGCCTCAAAGATGCTCGGCTCAGTGACTTGATGTGCATGTCCCTGCTCCGTTACAAGCCCAACTGGGACGAAATAGTCGAGATCTGGCGTAACTACAAGAAGCGGAAGCCGCTCAACACCTGCAACTTCTCCAGGCAGGAGACAGATAGGAGGCGTCGGGGGAAGGAGGAGGCAGAGGCAGGAGACCAGGCCAACCCTGTAGACCTAGATGAAGAGGAGGATGCAGCAGGTGCAGCTGACGGTGGTGATGATGAGGATGCGATGTGGTATTAGTACTAGTAGTGGTTGTATGCGATTGTTAGTTAGTTAGTGGTATTCGCTTGCTGAACTATAATGAATCAATCAGCGTGGCAATTGTTGTCGACTCTGATAAGAAAGTTTTTTCCCAGAGAGCACCCTGATTTTTCAGGGTGTTTTCACATGGCGACCCTGACAGAAAGTTTTTTTTTTTTGTACTAACACTGACCAGAAAGTGTTGACAAAAACCAATCTGAGGCCCTGCTCTATTGCCCCTGGAGCCACGAGGGTGTTCGAGCAAAGCTCTCTCGGGAACATCAACTATGAGCGCTATCTCGTCGACCAAGCGGAAGTCATCAAAAGCAGTACAACATCAGGGGTAATCAACGGCGGTTCAACTACTAGTAGAATTTCGATCTCCTGTACTGCATTCCAAGCCTACGGGTTGAATTCTTTGCGTTTCTTTCCGTGATAATAACTTAGCGCCGCGCTTTCTTTCAATGCAGAAGTTTTGCAGGCTGCGCTTTCTGTTCTAACCGTCGTCTTTCCTACCGTTCCTCTTGGCAGGGCATGGATGACGCGCAAGCAAGGGAATGTTGTAATCTTTGTGCCAAGCAAGAAGGCTGCAGGTTCTGGCGACTGAAATCCGCAGTGAACGGCCAGCTGTAAGCATGATATTATATCTTGCGTTATCGAGCATGCTCGCGTCGCTTTTCTTTGTCCAGACAAAATATCAGCAAAGCTCATTCTGCGTTTTCTCTGTACTCTCTCATCATGTTCTTGTGCCGCACTCCCAAGCTGGTTTCCTCCTCTGATGCTTTCAACTTTGGAACGTGTGAATCTTCAATCCTCCACTTTCCCTCTCGAAAAAGAATACTCTGCCTCCCACCTCCAACGTATCTCGCGTGACCTGTCCGAGCAGAGGCGAATGCAAGTTGCTGCGCTCGCTGTCAGGCATCACCGTGCGGAACTGGGACGTTCCCATCGTACCATCGTATGTGGGCGGCGAGTGCAACCCCCTTGCCAACACGGACGACGACCCGCATTTCCGGGGCGCAGATGGCACGCGCTTCGACTTCAACGGCATTCTGAACCGCTCCTTTTGCTTGGTTTCTGACCGTCGGATCCACATCAACATGGGAATCAAGGGCTACCAGCCCATCGCAAACCTCCCCGGCACAGCAACATCATTGGATGAAGAGTCGCTCGTTGCAGCGCTGGAAGCAGCGGCCAATGAGAAGAAGCCACGTCATATCAGGCAGCTGGAGCAGGAGCGACTGAGCGTGGAGGAACTGAGAGAGCTGGAGAGAATGCGGGCCAATGGGAGCCTGCCGTTGACTGGTGAGGTGGTGGCGGCGCTTGACAGGGAGACGGGTCGTCGCAGCGGCGAAGAAGGCGCCGGGGGTGGAGGGGAAGAGAAGGAGCAGCATTCTATTCAGTATGCAAAGCATGAGCTGAAGGCGAGGCTTCTGAAAGAAAAGCCGATTCGCAGCTGGATCAGGTATGCGACACTGTGCTTGTACATGATGCGCATGCGCCATGATGCACTCGTAGCCATTTTGGGTAGCATGCGCAGTGTTTGTAGACCGCACGAGTCGTTACGAGCCTCACCTTCTCTTCTCCGCTGCACTACCCTTCATTCTTTTGTGCCTGCCAGGGAGCTTCAAGTGATGTGGCGCGACGAGACTGGCGCGCATCACTCAGCGTTCTTTAAGGCACGCGACGGCAAGGAACAAGGGAGGGGCAGCAGCGGGTTCATCGACTGACTGGAGCTCGACGGCTCGCCGGTGGCCCCGCCTCTGTCCGAAGGCTCTTCCATCGTTGGCAGCGGCGGGTTCAAGCTGCTTCTGGCAGAGACGCGGAGCCACAAGGGGAAGGATGAGGACGAGTTTCATCTCACGATCGACGGCTTGGTGGACATGGGCATCACGGCGCGTTTGGCGCATCCGCTCATGCAGACGGCTACGGAGGCCCAGGCACATTTCAACGTGCACATTGCCCGGATCAATGCGAGCAACTTTTTTTCTCACTTTGTTTGTGTGAGGCAGCGCTGGCTGCACCCGGCTGCGAGCTGCGGCCCAATATCGTACCTCTAGTCATATTGTCTCAGGCTATTCTTTTCCACCATGTCCCTCTTCTCGCCCTCTTTCCCTCCCTTGAGCAGCACACGAGCGGCATTCACGGCGTGCTGGGTCAGACCTTCCGAGCCGAGGAATCCCGCAAGGTGCGCTCGCTGCGGTACCGCCTGCTGACCCGCCTGCTGCGCGAGCCGGTGGAGGTGGAGAGTGAGAGTGGCAGGGGATTCCTGGATGGGCGCACGGAGGACTACATCACCTCGGATATTCGCTCCGCGGATTGCATGTATGCCGCTGCGTGGCGGAGGGGGGGGCATGAGAGCAGTGAAGGGAGCGACATCATGTAAAAAGATGTGCTGTAGAGTCTATTTTGGGGTGGTTTTAGTAGGAAAATCATTCACCTTGTACAATGGTCAGGTATACCAGATAGCCTTATCACCTTGTATGCAGCCTTAATGTCACGCCAAATACACATAGGGCGTGCTAGGTGACATTTGTGGTTGCACTTACCGTCATCGCCCAGATATAAGACATATATGTCTTATTTCATACACTAAAAAAAATGCTTGGGTTATCTTGTATTTGGGGAGGTTTTGGGTGTCTTATAAGTCTTATAAATGGAAACTTTTTTTAACTACTTAGAAATATTTTCACGCATCTTGAAAAGAGTTTCTCATTAAGAGTGTGGATGTTGCGAAGGTGCCACTCCGGCAACCATTGTTCGGGACGCCACGTCATCCCGAATACTTGCAGAGGCAAATTTGGTAGGACGTGAGTCAGCACGTGGCACAATTCGCGTGTCGCAAGGGTAAAAATGTACGCGGTATTTCAATTTTCACTATAACACATTGCAGTTTCGATTATAAGACACATATGTCTTATCTCGTACACACAAATAGGTGTCGTATAAAAAGGCTAGCCTGTTTATAAGAGACACCCGTATAATAGACAACCCCTGTCTACTATTCAACACTGTCTTATATCCGGGCGATGACGGTATTAGGGTTGAGGATTTGTACCCATACCCGTTCTCGCATGGTATCGAGAAATTTAGAACTCTCGCTTCCGCTCCGCCCTATCCTAGCCTAGTCCGCCACCTACCACGCCCTTTGACTGCCCACTAAGGCACGTCCAGAACGTGGCCCACCACCAAAGCTAGAGCCAACATGCCACCTAAGCTACAGCCGGCGCGCTTGTCAATGTAGGCCATCAGCAAGCACTAGCTCGTGCAGTGCATGACCTGCTGCTCGCCAGCAGCAAGCGCGCCACCAACATGCCCCCCGGCAGCAAGCGCACCAGCAGCGCGCACACCAGTAGCAACCGCGCCAGCAGTGCGCACGCTACCAGCGCACACACCAGGAGCGCGCACCAGCACACTGCTGCCAGCACACACCAGCAGCCGCCACTAATTCATGCCAGCCAGCCAGCCGCCTACTCTGTCAGCCGGCCGCTAATGCACACCAGCAGCCAACAACTAATGCACGCTAGCCGTCCGCCACTAGTGCATGTCGCACGCTGCCACTTCAGGCCAGCCGAAGGCTAGCACAGCGCACCAGCGCAGCCCGCTAGCGCACGCTAGCAGCACGCTGCTTTCAGCCCGCCAGCTGCCCGCTGCTAGTGCGCGCTAGCAGCAGCTCGTCGCCAGCATGCTTCCTGAACCAGCAGCCCTCCAGCACGCCGCTAGCCCAGCAGCAATCCAGCATGCCAGCACCTTTTGCCTCCTAATGCCGCTCCTACTCACGTCTGCGCACATGGTAGCTTCCAACCACCAGTCCCCGTTACTCTCTAGCCGCCGGCTAACTGGCAGTCATCGCCAGTTCCCAGATCTTAGCCGGTTGCTCCGCTCCCCTATCACCTAAACACCTCTCGTCATAGTCGCGTTCGACGGTGTCCTGCCCTTTGATGCTGAATGATGCTCAATTGACTTCGCCACATGGCTGGTGCACACCAAGCTTCATCCCCAGAGCCAACGCCAGTTTGATGAGCTGCGTGCCCCCCTCTCGTCCTGCCCCTCATCCTACTGAGCCCACTGCGGCGGACCGGAGACCTTCTCTGTGCAGTGCACTGCGTACTCAGTGTGCCGGTCTTGCGACACTGCTGCTCACCTCGCTCTTAGTTGCCTCCTCCCAATAGCCAAGTGTGTTCACTTCAGGCAGGTCACTGTCAAACTATATATATGTAGGCTATAGTGGGGTAGCCCGTATGGGGTACAACCCAATGTTAGGGTTTCCATTTGTACCCAACTTCCTCATAGTTGATTCATTCCTGCTGACATGGTTCCAGAGCAGGTCCTAGCCTAGGACCGTTTTCTTAGGGCCCACTGTACCGCGCTACCCCACGAGTTGCGCCTGCTACTGTCGCCATGCCCTGCCCTGCGTTGCGCTGCCGCGCACGCCCTGCCCTGCCCTACCCACGCGCCGCGCGCCGATCGCCGCCGCGCGCGCTGCCCTGCCGCGCGCCGGCGTGCGCCCTGCCCTGCCCGCGCACCGCGAGCCCGCTGCGCGCCCTGCCCTGCCCGCGCGTCGCCCGTCGCCGCGCGGCCTGCCCTGCCCGCTCGCCGCCCGCCAGCCGCGCGCCCTGCCCTGCTCGCATGCAGCCCGCAGCCGCGCGCCCTGCCCTGCCCGCCCGCCGCCCGTCAGCCCGCTGCCCGCGCAGCCCGCGCGCAGCTTCTACCGGCCCGAGCGCCGCCCGCTAGCAGTCCGCGTGCCCCACCTGCGCCCCGCGCGCTGCCTCGCCAGCCACCTGTAGCCCCGTGCGCCGCCTGCTCCTGCCGCGGCTGCCTGCTACGCCCCGTGCGCAGCCCGCCCTGCTGCCTTACCGGCCGCCTGCAGCCCTGCGCGCCGCCTGCCACTGCTTTGGCTGCCCGCTAGGCCTCGCGTGCCACCTCTGCGCTTGCCCCTATTGCGACCGCCCGCTTCAGTCCAGCGTGCCGCCCCTGCTGCTGCTACTTGCCTGCAATTACTCTGCCCTGCCAGTCCCACGCCAGCAGCTATGGCCACCCTCCGCGTCCTGTCGTTTGACCCTGAGGGCCGCCCGATTCAATTCGACACCTGGCTCGATGACCTGCAGCTGTTTCTCATGAGCGATAGCAAGGACAATGTCTCTCTTTTTGACCACACGTCTGGTGCCTCAGTCGCTCCTGCTGCCACAGCTGAGCTTAGCGCCCGTTCCCAGTGGCAGACTCGTGACGCTGCTGCTCGCCTAGCCGTTTGCAACCACCTGCCGTTAGCCGAACTCACGCATTTTGGCGAACACAAAACAGCTAAGGCCCTGTACGATGTAGTAGTTGCTCGATACTCCTCCCTGGCCACTGCTGAGCTTAGTCGCCTCATGCTGCCCTACCTGTTTCCTGAGCTGTCCACCTTTGCCACAGTTGCCGATCTCATCACCCACCTTCGCACTAGTGACACTCGCCTTCGCGCCGGCCTCCCCACAGAGTTCTGTGCTTAGATCCCACCTCCGATGTACTGGACCCTCCACTTCATAGTCACCCGTCTCCCTGACTCGCTTAGCTCGGTCAGGGACCACTTTCTCGCTCGCTGTCCCACCGACCTCACTGTTGACCTCCTAGAGGAGCGCCTCCTTGCAGTAGAGAAGAGCATTGTTGCTGTAGGTGCTGCTCGTGGCGCTCCTCGCACCCCCATCTTCGAGGGGTGATCTCCCTCTCCCCTCGCCCCCTCCTACGCTACTGCTGCTGCGATTGACTTCATTGGTGCTGAGTCTATTGGTGCTGCTTCTGCTTCTAGTTGGAGGCGCCGCAGCGGCAAGGGCAAGGGGGCCAAGAGTGACGGAGGTGGCACCGGGGGGGGTGGTGGTGGAGGCGGTGGCGGAGGAGGAGGTGGCGGCAGGAGTGGTGGCGGGAGTGCTGGCGGGAGTGGTAGCGTCGGTAGTGGCGGTGGAGGCGGTGGCGGCGGCGGGGGTGGCGGCGGCGGTGGCGGCCGGGGCTGTGGTGGCGGTGGAGGTGGCGGTCGGGGTGGAGGCACTGGCGTTGGCCAGAGACAGCAGCAGCGGTAGCGTCCCCAGACAACCCAGCAGCTTCGTGAGTGGCTTGCTCAGCGTGGGAGGTCTGGGAGTGGTGGTCGCTGCCCGTATGTCATTCGCACAGGTGACCGCAAGGGTCAGACATGCGGGAAGTTCCACACCCAGTACCGCTGCTTCTCCCGCCTTGACGACGCCTGGCGTGAGGAGATGGGCGAGGAGGCTGAGCGCCCTCGCTGGCATGAGCTGCTTAGGGCTGGTGTAGACATCTTTGCTCTTGACTATGATGCCATTATTGCTGCCATGTATGCATTGGAGGTTAGTGTTGACGGTGAATGTTACTTGTGTGTGCCGCCCGACCCCGGTATAGAGGCTGGTACTCTAGGTGCTGGTGAGGCTGCTGCCTTAGGTGCGAGCGAGTCTGCTCTCTCAGTTACTGCGCCTGCTAAGGCCTTGCACACCTTCACGCTTGACTCAGGTGCTTCCCGCTGTTTCTTTCGTGACAGTACTGCCCTCACACCACTCACTGCACCTGTTGCAGTCTCTCTGGCTGACCCCTCAGGGGACCCAGTTCTTGCACGGTCCACCACTGTGCTCCCGTGTCCGGTGGTTCCGTCTGGCTCACTGTCAGGCCTCCACCTCCACTCGTTCTCTACAAACTTGGTGAGCAACGCGGTCCTCCAGGATGAATGGGTTAATACCTTTACCCCAAGAGGCCAGCGTGTGGCGATCTGCACGTGTGTGCGGACGGGCCGTCACCTGGCCACGTTTACCCGTCGGCCAGGGTCGAGTCTCTACACACTGACGACTGCGCCTCCTCAGGTAGCTGCTACTGGTCAAGTGTCTGCGGCAGGTCAGGTAACCTCCCTTTGTTCGTGTCCATCAGACTCTTTGGTCAGGTAACCTCCCTGTCGCACCAGACTCTGCTCTGGCGCCACCATCTCGGTCACCCCTCTTTGCCACGTCTACGTGGCATGCACCGTCGCTTCCTTGTGTCTGGTCTTCACAGGTCTCTCCCTCCCCTCCCTGCCTCGCCTGCACCTCCCTGCCTTCCTTGTGTCGAGGGGCGGCAGCGCGCTGCTCCTCACTCCTCCTCGTTTCCCCCGACAGAGGCGCCCCTGCAGACCCTGCACGTGGACGTGTGGGGCCCAGCCCGCGTTCGTGGACAGGGCGGCGAGCGGTACTTTCTGCTGGTTGTCGACGACTACTCGCGTTACACCACGGTCATCCCCTTGCGCACCAAGGGTGAGGTCCCTGCTGTCCTGATCCCTTGGATCCGAGCAGTTCGTCTCCAGCTCCGCCGTCGGTTCCGCACGGACCTTCCTGTCCTGCGTCTGCACTCTGACAGAGGTGGTGAGTTCTCCTCCGA